TTTTTGTATTAGACCCGTCGTCCATTTATTTGTAAGTCAATGGGTTTCGCGCACTTTCCGATAACCGATTAACGTATTTGTTTCTTTTTGTTGTTAAAAATTTATTTTAATCAATTGAATGATAAAAAAAATGTATCCCTATTATGTTTCCTAATGTTAATTATTGTGTTCTAAATTTTTACGTTGGTTTTGATAAATTTAGATATACGAGATTAATAATTACTTAGTTATTATCATTGTAGTGCCCTGACAAGTTTCATGTGCTGGAATGCTATTATGTAACACCTCTGTTAATCCACATGACACAATGAATAAATGAATTATGAATTAGTTTCAGTATGCACATTTAAGCAAAATTTAAAGTCCCTTCCCTTTTAAAAAAAATCTAACTAGTTATTTTCAATCTACGTTTCAGTTGTAATGTTTATCAATTTGAGAATTCTATGAGTAGATGTACTGTCTTGTGTCAACCGTGTTAAGACTGCCATACAGTGTTACTTGTTGGGATGTGCAGATGCAGGTGGCTCAAATCCAGTCGCTGATGTCGGGCGGGGACGTGAATGGCGCGTTCCAGCTGGCGCTGTCGGCAGCGGACCTGTCGCTGGTGGTCGCTGCGTGCAGAGGGGCTGACCCCGCGCGCGTCTTCAATCCACTCTGCCAGCTCAAGCAGCACGTGCTGTTGTCGCTGGTACAGCAGCTAGCCGCCGACCTGCGCAACGACACCGACACTCTGCTCAAACACAGGTATACCGCCGCTTTTCAAAAATAGTGACCCAAAACAAAATACTGTCTGCCACGGTTTGCTAGGAGACCATTGTCTTACAAATAAATCGACGTCGGGTTCGCGCTAAAAAATGTCCGAACTTACAGGGCGTTAAAATCGTATACAGAGCGTCAATTCGTTTGTTCGACTGACAGCGCGCTTGTCAATGATGCCGTATTGTGTAGTAAAACCTTGTAAACATTACTCAACTAAAGTGAAAAAACAGGGTGGTATATCATATTTTCAGTAAGTACTACATTGGGAATGGAACCTGGCACCTCTGCGTGGCAGACTAGCATGGCAACCGTTCAGCCACAGAAGCAATTAAATTTAAAATTAATGACAGCTGGTATTCAGAATGTGTTATATTTACTTGTAAATAAGACACTAAACTTTATATTGGTTAAAATAATCGCGTGACTACATTAGGTCGGTATACAATTTGTCGTACTCGAGCACCAAATAGGCCATAGATTTTTTAAACTCTCTTTTTTTGATTTATTTATTTATAAAAATCTACCTGATGAGTTAAGTTTTTGAAATAGGCTACTATTTTAGAAAGCCAGTTATATGTTCATTAATTTATGGTTAACATAAATTAATTAAAAATAAACAATAATAATAATAACAACGCACACACTCAACATAGCCCCGCACTAGGGAAACCCTGTGTCGCGGGTGCCATGAACACACACATAGATTACTACAAATTCACCCAAGCTCACGAGAGAAATAAATGTAGGCCACACAAATATTTCTCCCGGCCCGGGAATCGAACTTCTGAGCTCTGCGTTTCAGTCCGGCATCGTAACCGTTCCGCCACAGAGGCAGTTAATTAAGCTGCCTTAAACTTGGTTTCATCTCTACACTACAGAGACACAAATATTCTTTCAAAACTTTCTGTAAACATAACTAATCGCTAACTTACAGGTACCTAGAAGAAGCGGTAATGAACTTGGACACAACGAATCCGGTGACCAGGGAGCACCTACCGGGTGTGGTTCGCGAGCTACAAAAGCAGATTATGGCGTTCCTCGCCAGCAACCCTCAGCACGCTCTGACGCGGCAGTTCAAGATGCTGCTGATGGCGACCGAGTCGCTGGTGAAGACCGTTTGACCCGGGGCTGCCACCTTACTGCCCGCCCCTCATTTGTGCCCCTGCGAGCACCACCTTCGTGCTTTTTAGCGTCTAGTCACAGTAGACACTTCTGTGATTCTCGCGTACCGGACAGTGCGATACGACACTCAGTGATTCCTCGTTTAGTGATTACGTTGTTAGTGATAAGTGATATTGCGGTTGACGTGTTATGTGCAAAAACTTTTTTGTTATAGCAAGCAATAGGTAATGTTCTAAGAAACAAGTATCCAAAAGTGCCGAAATGATTATGCGGTCTGATACGTAACTTACAGTCGGTAGTACAGACAATACCTATGTCTGGAGAATTGACAAATGAATCATACCGTCTGTACGTGTTTTGGAAATAGAGGCGAAAAAAGTGTGATAAGTAGTGCACAGGTGCAATAATCAACTCTATGCTTATAAAGATACGAGTCACTGCCTGTATTTATAAGTCAGTAAATAACAAACAAACATGTGCCTCACTTCTGTCTTAAGGTATACTCAAATGTTTAAGGATTACGCTGCACATGCTTTTTATTAAAATTACATTTATGAACACTCACAAAATGCTCACAATAAAATGTCTACATCCACCATTACAATTTTTCTAACTGTAGTTTTTCGTTGTGACTTAATGCATTAAATTAAATATTGTAAATAACACATGTGGAATAGTAATATTACCTCTGTTCATTTGCACGTTGACAAACTGGGTAGAAACACGATAAAAGAACTTTTATGAAACGGTAAGTTGTATCTTAGCAAAGATGCTAACACCAATTTCCGGTGCTGTAGGTTGATATTATTAAATGTAACAGTTATACATATAAGATAACTTTTAAATGTATAAAGTGTCGACATATGTTTACAGTAACGTGAGAAGTCAAATTGGGAGTTAGATAACATCTTTGGTCATAAGTATTGGTTAGTTTCGTAGTGTCTCATGTAAATTCTAACTGACATGACGTTTCAAAAAAGGTTATGAAAAAGACATTCCTTATCAATTGATGTAACTCCTAGTTCTGAAGCGCCGCTGCCACTGCGACGCCGCAGTTGTGGTCGCCCTTGACACCAATGCTCTACTAATGTACGATTTTAGTTGGTCCCGTAGCATGGGCTGCAGTCGCACCGCTGGTGCTGTAGTACGACGCCGCAGTTTCTGCGGCGGCAAAAGACGCCATGTGTAATCACCCTTTATGTTTGTCGAAAACGTCGATTAAAGATATTGGTAGATCGCTCAAAAGGTGGCACCGTCGTAAGAAGACCACTGATATGCCTTCATTCCTTGGTGACCACGCGAATCACTTGCAATGCGCATTTAAAAATCGCAAAATCTACATTAAAAATATTTAAAAAAGATGAAGAATCGTACTTATAGCAATTATATCATCTTAAACTTCGTTTTAGTTTAAGGGATTTTAAACGTATTTTTTCAAGTTATCTAATCTTTTATCTATCCGTTTTACTCTCGCGGGCGACGGTAATTATTGAAACGATACGGCACTTCAGCTGCGTCGTGAGCGCAACATTAAGTGTGAGGCCAGACGAGCGTAATTTGTGAGTTGTGAGTTGCGTTTTATGGATTTCGCACTTTGCGCTGCATTCGGTTTCATATAAAAGTACGGTTTGTTTCACACGACGATGCAAAATGAGTTATATATAGGGAAGGGGTCTCTTTGGTATAGGCTGCGCATGAGTATAGATGTTTCTTGCGAAAATGTTTGCTACGGAAATTAAAAAATAAGTAATTAAATAACTTAATTGATTGATATTATTAGTCTTTCCTCTGGCCTGATTGATTGTCTCATATTTGTATCTGACTTAGCAATAAAAGGTTTTACTAGGCTTAATAATTCTTGAAAAACATTTATTGGCATGTGGTAGTACTTAACAAATTGATCTGGATGTTCACATAAACTTGTGTATAATATTATGAAACTGTCACACTTTAATCGTTTCATATTGAGTGGATGTACCCAGCTTCTTTTTCTTTTTCGAACATCGTCTTCTAACGCTTCATAAATGCATACTATTTTTAATGGATCCATTACACTATTACGACACAAACACCCCGTATAAACGCTTAAAAGCAATTGAATAAAACACGTTCGTCTGGCGCTCCAACCGAATTTCGGTCGAGCGCAAAAAAAACGCAACTCACAAAATAACGCTCGTCTGTCCTCACATTAAGCGTCAAAATGATGTAACTCACATTATCCAGTAATTAATTTGTACTTTCTTTCATATTTGTACGATTCATTACACTGTACTCTTTTTTAGATATCTTGTTTCATTTGTGGATATCATTTTTATTACCCTTTCCATCATCCAAGACAAAAGGTAATATGGAGAAATTTGCACAGATTAATTATTATTATTACGACACTGTTAATAATATATTAAGATCTATATCAGAGCGAATTATATCACACGTTAGGAATACTTGCAAAATAAGCAAAGAGGTATACACTTATATAAGCAATTGTTGAAGCGAAGATAATGTGTGGGTTTGATTTATGTGGAATCGTGCATCTACCAATATATTTGATCAAAGGTTGAAAGCTACATTTTCGGGCCATTCAAGACGAGTGAATGGGTATTTACTGGACAAACATTTCATGTCTCGAGCTGTAGATATTGGCATTGTCATGACATACTTACTGAAATATGCTGCTCTGAAAAAGTCAGCGGCGTTTCAAAAAATGTTCCATTTAGTTACATAAATATGGACATCGCAAAATTGGTGTTCTGATCTGATTTTAGAATAACGCGTCTATTTGTAAATGTACGATTGATAGCTAAAACCTGACAGTAATAGTACTTGTGCTATCGGACATAGCTATTATCAGTTCATTAAAACATTATCACCTCTAAAACGTTATCAATTTAAGTAATTGAATTCGTTACCAATGTTATTAAATGAGTCATACATAACCTGTAAAAAAATTTTGCTTTTAGATGATAATTCCTATTAAACTTACTAAATTGTTTTGAGTTTTTTAAAATAAATTAAATTTTATTTGTTCTTTTTTTGTTATTGCAGAGGAATTCATTATTGCTCTTTCCTGTGATAATTGATAACTTGATAACTTTATTAAGAAAATCGACAAGTATTTTTTTTTCTTCTATTATTGTATTTCAAATGTTTCGTTGTCTTTATATGTATGTATAGTTGAGGGTTGCAAATGCCTTGACGACCTTGCAGGAACAATAGGATAGTATAAACTTATAGTTTGCTACATTATAATCTGTTCTAGAGATTTCACAGTGACCATTAGACTTAAGGTGCTTGCTCCCCCGTCAACTGTTATCATTATCATAAATGCTAATACTACTTTTTCAGACTAAATTAGTATATAAGATCTCTCTTTTGTTTTTAATTAATAAGGCATAAATGTAATAGTAATTTTGTTCTTTTTTTTAATCTCTGATTATGACCACGAAACTCGAGGCATGAATGATCAAAGCAATTTAAGAAATGTATAAAAATAAAAATTATTTGATTTATAACAAAGCTGTTTATTTTTTTAACAACTTCTATTATCATCAACCCATTAATACGCCCCACTTCTGGGCACGGGTCTCCTCTCAGGCAAGGGTATAGGCCTTAGTCCGCCAGTTGTTTTCCGAGGGTTGTGATCCTTCTTCGACGTGCAGGGAGCCCACCATAATCTTTCTAAAAACAATCTTATTTCAGTAAGCTTATTATAATATGACTCATATTCATACCGTGACGAACCTGTCAACCAAGTACTGTATTATTTAAAAAGTGATTGAAAGAACGAATGATTTCCCAATATTGTCTATTCCTTACTAAAAATAGGAAAGAGATAACGCTATGGGAACTATATAACGCTATCTCTTTCTTTTTTGATGTTCCGAATCGTCTTATCATAGTATAAATGTGTAAGTACTTAATGTTATTTACATTCAAAGAATTTTTACTGTTAAAAAAGAAAAGTATGTAATAATAAAATCTATTACAATTACATTGTTTTCAACCATTATTCCGCATTTTCATGAAGAAAAATAAATAAAACACGTGAATTCGGAACTATAGTCTAGTATCAACTGTTAGTTTCGCCAAGGTGCATATAGATGGCGCTGTCATAATTTTACGAAATATATACATCGCGTATTTTTATTTAACGAGAAATTATTTCCTACATGCTATTAAATAAAAAATAAACAGAATATTGAAGAGATATATGTAAATAAATAAGTTCAACTTAACTATTAATCATTACAAAACTGATAATAATATTGTTTCCATTGCATCCGTGTAACTATTTTGAGGGTCGTATTCCAGAACTCTACTCAAAACTCAAGTCAGGACTTGAGTATTGCAGTGAGCACTGAAAATCATACTCAAGTCCTTGCCATTAGGGTCGTATTTCCAGTGCTTGAAATCATACTCAAGTCTGCTCAAGTCCTGACTAGAGCATTGAGCAATGCTCAAGTCAGGATTGCACTGGAAACACAAGCACTGGAAATACGACCCTAATGGCAGGGACTTGAGTATGATTTCGAGTGCTTTAAACAATACTCAAATCCTGACTTAAGCATTGAGTAGAGTTCTAGAATACGACCCTGAGATTGCTAAATTTAACTTAAGAGCAATATTAGTCACGTCATAGTACGAATTGAGTGAATGAATAGTCAGAAAGCTGCCAGTAAGACATTATAGTGTTAACATTACAATAAGCTTACTTTAAGCGCGTTATGGTACGAAAAGTCAATGTAAGGTTAAAGTAATATTGTTTTAGGAGGTTGTGGTACATGTTTTTTCTTCACCGAACAGCTCATGGTAAATTTCAAATTAAATTTCGGACATGAATTCCGAGACACTCGGAAATGCGGTGCGCGCCCCAGCCCGGACTCGATTGCTTGAGAATGATTTGATATTTATTAGCTTAAAATATATTTTACAAAAGGTGGTGTAAATGGTGTAAAATATTGTAAGTTATCATATTTCACCAAAACTGGCATCCAAATTTTATTACATTACAAATCTCTTTCTTTTCTTACAAAATTTTATAAATCTGTTTTAAAATTAAATCTTTGTATTAATAATTATAACAAACTAGTAAAGTAATTTTACAAAAAAAAAGAAAATAATGTGATAAATCTTTCATAGATTTCTCATAGATGGCGCTACGACTAAAAATCCGTTGAAAAAACTAAATACAAAGACACGACGCAAGCACATAGAAAAATTCGTGAGTTCCGTAGCTTAGTTGGTATAGCGTCTGGCACGGTAAGCTAGAAGACGTCGGTTCGAATCCGGCCGGATCGAAGGAATTGTTTCTGAGCGTTCGATCTTTGTATTAATAATTAATGTAAGTAGAGTTATTAAAAACAAGTAAAAGTAAAAATATTATAATATAATAAATTCATATCATTGTACTGAAAATACCCATATAGTACTGAAAACACGCTAACAAAAGACGAAAAGATATTGTTTGTCCCAAAATTGTATCATCAAAGCACATGTGTTTATTTCCAGATTTTTTGTGTTTCTTGCGCCATTTTTGTACAATAAATTAAACACCAAATTGGCCATATATCAGTTTTGTTACATAAAGGTTAAGAAATTTCTCCATGAATTCCTTCAAAATATGTCCTACGAAGGTACAGAGAATTTATTAATTATCCCAAAATAAATGTCTAATTTAATTTAATTTTGTTGTTAGGTTTTCGCGATTGTTAGACATAAGAAATGAAACTATTTTTACCGGATTTAAATCGAGTATATTTATTTTTTCAAACAAACTAAACTTTTCGGACCCTTTACAGCTATCGCGTTTGCGTTAAGATTTGAATTTAAACCTCATGAATGATTAAGATGTAAATAAAAATCTTAATGCAAACACCTCAGTTAAGTTTGAATTATTACAAATTTACACTGAGGTCTCAGAATAAGTACACTAATCGTGTAACGAGTGTATGTAAAATATATTAATTTCTAGACGCGCGATTTGAAAACGCGGGTTAAATTTTTCATCTGAAGTAACGCTAAACTGTCTTTGTTCATTTGAGTAAGGGGCGGGGCAATTCTGACGTTACGTTTTTATCCCACAAAAAGAAGGTAGAACAATCACAAAAATAAAATAACATCTCCCGCAACACGTCACCATTTATTACGCAATAAAGCATTTCCTAAACATGAATTACAAAAATCAAATAACTTTATTGAAGCGTTCGAAATCTCTGTGTTCATTAAACGAGTACGGTGGAGTAAAAGACGCGTGTTTCGTCGACTATCAACGGTATAGCCGGTCAGTAAGCGAGTCGTCAGAGAACCCCGGCCATGATTACGAGTCAGAACCCGCGGAGAAACACAACGACGGGATTAGCGAAGAAATAGGGGTGTTGGAAAAGAAAATTGATAAATTAAGCGGTGAGTATGTTTTCCCTTTTGAAGTCCCTCTTGTCGTTGTATTATAAAGTTACGTATCTCTTGGAATTTCTTGTGATCCGTATCTGATCCACGTGGCTTATTTTGTTCCTTATCTCGCTTTTGGTGAAGCTGTCGAAGTAGTTCTTGTCTCGACACGTGAATAGGTGAGTATATTCTGAGTAACTTTGCTTATCATGAAAGAAAATACCGAAAGTAATGTTTCCAATTTTTATATTTAATGTAAGTTGCAAGAAATCGTAAATGACGTCACGGGCGAACATTCAAACAACTGTTTACAATAACAATAATAAAGAAATAATAATAATAAACTTTATTTTATCTCCACAATACAATACATGGAACACAGTCATATAGAATGATTTTTTTTTATTCGATCTTTGTTTTAATAATAATAAGAAAGTATAATAGTGATGTCTTAGAATAATAACGCATAGAAACCTAGTCCGCACACGCTAAGTGAGGCAAATTGAAGCGCTCCCAATGGGCCTACACGAGCGGGCGGGCCGTCAGTGCTCAAGGTCAACTTGCACCGCGAACAGCTCCAGAATTTTAGCTAAAAATGACGAAATATGCGGTAAATGAGTGTAAAAATACGACAGACAAACATAAAATAGACACTAACATCACATTCCACAAGGAAGTAACGCGTTTCAACTTGTATTTTTATATAAATATTCACTAAAACCGAAAATTAACCTACTACTAAAACTAGCCTACATGAATTTGATTTTAGCCTCACTTGTGACAGTTCGTTTGATATGAAACTATCATTCTATGCGTTATTATTCTAAGAGTGAAGTATTTTCATAAAAAATAGATGAATGTTCAATAAATGTTCAAACGACTGTGTCGTCGAATCTATACGTTAGTTACAAAAATGCAAGAAGACAATATTGAAGATCGAGTTCTTAGATTTTCGCGATTGTTACACATAGGAAATGAAACTATATGTTCGGATTTAACAAAAGCATATACTTTTTTTTTTCAACCAAACCAACGTCGGGCGCCGCCCTTTATTGTTTAATAATAATAATACATACATTTATTTCAGAAGTGCACCCATACTTGATAGTAACAATACCTAATCTTATCAACTACGTTAGTAACATCACATATATTAAAATAATAATAATATAACGTTTTATTTAAGAAAATCGACTTCAGAAATTCATGGTATTACATCTATTTGCCAAGTTTTATTGCAATGGAAAGAAAGAAAGAAACAACTGTTTATTACACAAGCACAGTCACGCATATAGACAAAACAACAGAGGAACAATAATAATAATAATTAAAAATTAATCTTTTAGGTCCTCGGAGAGGCGAGAATCTAAATAAATAATGATATAATAACACAAATTAATTAAAAATTAAATTAAAACAATTGATAATGCAGCACCTAATTCACTGGTGTAATCGGGACTTGCTCAGCTTTAGCCACAAACGGCTTTTTTTTGAAACCGTTTCGTGGCGCTGATTTTCAGCAAGCCCGGGGCGAGTGAGCCACTGACAACAATACAGAACTCAACAATAAATAAATAAACAGATAAGAAAACCGACATAATAGGTAGTGTACATACAACTACATACGCATGAGAAGTACTTATGATATGTAAATAACAGTAAATCAATAAAATAAACTTAAATTCTAATATATTTAAACAAATTGGATAATATATGAAATGTATCAGAATTGATCGACCCCAGGCACACTAGAAAGATGCCTATTAGAGGCCTGTCATAGACGCCATTGAGCAAAAAAAATTAACCCAGATCAAGAAATTCCCTGCATATCTCTTTTAACGTCTTATGCAGCTTTTAAAAATATAAGAGACATTCATGAAAGTACCTACTTTGTGCCCAGACTAACCAACTACCAGCACAGCCCATAGAAAAAGAAAAGCTGCAGCAGCGGCGTCCGGGCGCCCAAAACAATCCACTAGCAGCGCGTCATCATCTTCCAGTCTTAAGCGTGCTAAATGAAGTGTCTAAACCAAGCACCTTCTTAAATGAAGACTAAGTATAGGAAATTTTGTGAAGTGTCATGTTCACTCGGTCAGAGGCTCGAGGCGAGGTGCGGTTGGATAACTGCGCTGCATATATTTTCTTATTTTCTTCCCTTATCTCTTACGTATACCCAAACTGAATACTCGCTCGACTGAAGCCTGCGACTCATGTAAATGCTGAGCTGTCATTTGTATTAGGTACCGCGCTCAGAAGGCCATTGGCGCTACCGCGTACACGCATCATCAGAGATGCAACTCGCTTTCGATCATATCATCAATTTTTTAAATAAATTGTAGGACGCCTTATATTGTATCATGCTCTTGTGTTTGTTTCTTAAACATTTTTTTTTTTTTTTTTTTATTTATTTTTTATTTCTTCCAAAGAATATAATATCTATCATGAAAACATAAATTGTAATGAATGTTTGCTATTCATTTTCTAATAGGGTTTAGCGGAAAACTTCTTATTTACGAAGACGTGGTCCAAAGGATAGTTATTAAAGTAATAATTTCATAGATTTGTTCCTGGAGCAATGTCGACTATTAACGGAGCTAAAAGAAGACATTCACTATTCCAAGAGCATTATTGAGAAGTCGGAGAGCGAGCAGAACGATTTAATATCAGAGCTGCTCAAGAAAATTGTTGCTGAAGTTGGAAGGTATCAAATACTTGTTCAGTCTGTTACCATAACGCATGAAGGTGCTTTTCCACCGGCGATGCGAGACGAGATGAGACAAGACGAGCGCTTCGTCGGAGGAAATGGTCTGGATTGATGACGAGGATAGGCGAAGCGAGAATTGAAATATTTCTTGATGTAATATTGAATCATATTGTTGCCTACATAGAGTGACTTGCGATGACTATTAATATCAATCACGTGATTTGAGATTTAAAAAAAATAGCTTCCGTTAACATAATTAGTAATAGTAATTTATGAGACATGTTACTTCAGCCGCGTGTTTATAGCTAGACGAACTGAGCACTGAATCTTATCCATAATCACAGCGCGAGGACGCGATGGCAATTTTTGGTGGAAATAGGTCGGCGAGATTTCAATCCTCGTCTCGCCACATCTCGTCTCGCCTTACCGGTGGAAAACCATGAAATAAGATGTAATGAGTGTAGAGCAGAAGTACCCAAACTTTTGTTGTCTCGTGGACCACAATTATATACACATTTTTTCTGTTTTGCGTAGACTCCGTGCCTTTCTAATGATTTTTTAGGAATTCATCAACCTGAAATGTGTTTTTGACACTGACACAGTGCTGCCCTGTGTTACATTTATTTACCCATTACTTATGTATGTATAATATAGTTTATGACGATACCAATTAGGCCCACTTATCTCTAACTTTTGCAAAGTTCTTTCAAAATCAGACAAGAGCCGGTGGCAGAACAGCGACGTGGGTTCAATGATCGCGCGCGCAGCCTTCTTGACGCCATCGAGGCCAGACCGGCCTTCTGCCTTGATCACGAAATCAGGGATGCCCTTATCGACTTCCTTCAGAGTGACGTAAGTATAGCCAATGTTATTTACTCAAGACCTTTGCTTCTGTGATAGAAAACCCTTCAGAGAAACTTGCGCTCTGCAGTTACACGCACAGCTGCGGTCACATGTATTAGGTTAGATGTCTCTGCGGCTATGAAACACGGAGGGAAAGTGTTTTGCTTCATGGAGCATTCAATCAAACCGACTAAATGTAAAAAAACAGCTTGTATTTTTATGACGCCAATCGAAAAGGTCTTTTCGATTTTTGAGTTATGACAGTATTGGTTTCATGTACGACTATTGTACTTTCAACATTTAAAGCACTCTCCCTCCATGTCCTGCAGCTGTATGATACCCTGTATTATATATACTTACTTCGAAACATAAACATTGTTTTGTGAGGAATAAAACTACAGGACGAATTGAGTAAAAATCTATTCTTAGCAGTTGAAGATGAACAGATTGACTAATGACCGCTGTACCTTCTAACACGCGCCAAAAGATAAATTTACAAAATGGCCGTCTATACAGGAGCTGAAAAGCCACATGGTGACTGCCACGATGGAGTCGGTGAAAGACATGATCCGCGAAAACTTCAGCTACGAGGTGACAAGTGTTTATCTGCCGCTGCTACGGCGCTCGCAGCGGAGACTGGCTCGCAGGGTCACTAGGGTTCTAGAGGAGGGATTCTTAGAACGTGAGTCCTATGGTCCTCGAAAGATTCCATAAACTCCGAAATGCTAATAGATGGCATGATCATCGAGTTTAAACACGCAAGCGTTTCGTTAGACGCTTGTATTTACAAATTTTCATATAATTTCTAGAAGCGCTGCAAGCGCACATCTGCCGCGCGTCAGTCGTACGTCAATCGCGCTTCTGTTCCATTTAAAGCTAGTAATGACAATGGATGAACTTTGAATCGGAGATTTTATGGACAATGTGCAATTTAATTTTACCTGCTTCAGTGTAATTAGAAGTTTTTCTTCTGAAGAAGAACATTGCTTTCTAAAAGATAAAATAACTCAATTAACATGATTTTTTTTTTCATTAAAAAAAATTGGTATATTGATTATTTTCACAAAATAAAGGCTACGAAGGGAAGGAAATTCTAATACATTCCGATATTTTTTTTTTCTTCCTCCGTTTGAGCAAAATAAGTTCAAGTAACGCTACGTCTGAATAGATGTCATAACTGACTACAAGGATATGCATAAAAATTTGATCGCACTTCAGTAGCGCAACAATCGCACGACTGTATAACTAACGCACGACGGACGCGGGACTACAAGCGCCTAAGTTAAATGCGCCCTTATATTATGCACGTTTTTGTAAAATATTTACTTCCATCTTTCCTATAAAACACTCCTCTGGCGAAAGTGCCTGCTGTAGCGTCGTGATCGTCGTGGTTCAGGCTCACAAGAGCACCTTCAGCTCCGCTCCTTAAATGACTATGGTCAAGAGACTTCAGCTCGTCCTTTTATCCGGTTCCGGTGGAGCTGTCGAAGTCATCAGCGCCCGACTGCAATATCCTTCAGAAAGAATACCGTAACAAACCGGTTTGGTCTAAAAACCGCGAAGTAGTCTTTATGTATGTTTGATTTCGTAAATGTTTACGTAACCAGTGGAAGCGAACACGGCATCGTTCTCGAGCTCGGTGTATCGCATATCGCGGTCGCTAAGGCGCGCGCTAGAGAGGCATCATTGGCTGTTAGAAGAGGCTGGACCTCGCTGCAGGATGCGATTCACTCAGCTACGAAGCATTATAGAAGGGTATGTTATATCTTTTAATATAGGTGAGTCATTGTGGTTTTCAGTAAAAAAATCCAGACTTTCGATACTACTTCAAAATAGATACTTATAGGCTAGACTTTTAGGCTGTGAAAACATGATATTTTAATTTAATGAAAAATTTTTATTTTTTAATGAAAAATCATTAATGATGAAAGTTATTTTTTCGTTTTTGTAGTGGTAACAAAAAGTGTTTTCAGATAGAGAGGACCTATTTTTACTACCGTTCTTCAGATTACATTAAGCTTCACTCTTGCCATGTCCATGTAACCATAATAAAAAAAATATTGTTGGTGAAGCAGATTTTTTTAATTTAGCATTTTTTAATATTAAGAGAAAATAATTTTTTATTTTCCTTCATTTGGTTCTCATTGTTAACTTACTATACCTACCAGAACAATCACTTCGTAAGGTATAACACAAAAGCACATAGAACATATTAATTATCACAGGTAACTTTAATTTTAAACTATATATATATTAGGTAACTTTAATTTAATTTATAACTTGACTTTGATTTATGATTTTAATAAAATGCTAAATGTGTTTTCTTTCTTCTTTACAATGATATTAATTTGTGAACTTTGTTTCAACAGAGTGCTACAAAAAGAAGTGCAGCAGTGGCAAAGCGAAGCCCTGAGCACTGTTTGCGTGCCTGCCGTGCAGGACGTCCCGGATTGGATGGAAGTGGAAGAGCCCGCGCCGCAGTTCGAGTTCCCGCTCAGTCCCCCGCAACCCGCGGACCCTGAACGGTCCATAATAGATCAATTGGTGAGGTTATGGGCTTATCTGTTTCTTGTATCTCAAAATTTAATAATAAATTGTAGAATTAGTCAAAATTATGTGTAATGGCATGTAATAAATACACAACTAACTATAACAATACGTAGTTTTTCCATGTGTTTGTTGCAGATCTTTGTTTCGGTTTTTAACGACTTTTGCCGTAGCCTATCTATGAGAAATCTATGAAAGTTTTTCTTCACTCAGGGGTACCTTTACAGCTACCAGCCGCTGACTAGAGATGTTATATAATAATTGTAATTAAGTTTTATTGAATGTCAAGATGTGTCACCACATAGATATTCAATAGTTTTTTTTGTGAAATTACTTCACTATCTTGTTATAATTATTAAACCAATAATGAACACTTAAAAAATTCACTTCGCTCCGACTGGATTCAATCCAACGTCCCCTGGCAAACCGTGCAAAACGCTATGCCAACTAAGCCATGGAACGAGAAGGTAGAATTAGTCAAAATTATGTGTAAAGGCATGTAGTAAATACATGTAACAATGATAGTCATGGTAAATAATAACGCACACATTAAATAATAACGCACACACTCAACATAGGTAGCTAAATATTTAGTAACTATCAGTACCGTATGATTATTATTATTATTATATTAATGTGACAGACGACCACCACACCACATTGATTATTGATTGGTCTCAAATTATGAAATTCCTTGTATTATGGGCACTATGGACTCTACCTAGAATGTAGACAGGGATCAATTTACAAAAATTCGTTTCACAAATTGGTTTTACCCGAAATCGAACTTGATTACTTCCTCATCTACAACAACAACTTAAACAAAAAAAACTTAATTACAATTATTATTAAAGCGACATCTTTAGTCGGCTGCTGGTAGCTGTTAAGGCACCTGGCTGAGTGAAAAAATATATTTCTCACAGATGGCGCCACGGCACGTCGTTAGAAAACCAAAATTAAAGATCTACAACAAGCATAAGAAAAATTCGTAAGGACAGCTGGTTCGTTTCGTGGCTTAGTTGGCATAAGCGTCTGGCACGGTTTACTGGAAGACGTTAGTTCGAATCTAGCCGGCTCGAAGGAATTTATTCAAGTGTTCGGTCTTTGTATTAATAATTATACCAAACTAGTGGAGTCTGGCCAATCGTTATGTACGGCAGCGAGGCATAATGGACCATCAAAGAAGAAACCAGATGCGTCTCGACGCATTCGAGTTGTGGTGTTACCGCCGCATGGTACAGAAAGTCAAGAACGAGACGGTACTCCTGCGCATTAATACCTCACGTCAGCTGATACGGACCATCAACAAGCGCAAAATAACACATGTCAGTATATATACCGACTCTATATCTGTATCGATACCGACTGCTCCAACTTATAATGATGGGAAGGGTTGAAGGCAAGAGACGCGCTGGAAGACGTAAAAGTCATGGTTACACAACATGAGGGAGTGGACCGGAGTCACGAGCGCTGAACAACTGTTTCGTTTGGCCATGGACAGGGTCAAATTTTCCATATGGACGGCCAACCTCCAGTAGTGGAAAGGCATTTTAAAAAGTGAAAAAAAATTGAATATCGTTGTGGTGAAACATCCTAACTTTCAGTAAATTTAAATAAAATCAATAGTAATTTTGAATTTAAACTATTAATTTCTTCCTATCAGATGAAAACAGCAGAGATTAATAAGCAAATCGAAGATGGCGATGTAAACGGATCGTTCGAGCGCGCTTTGTCCGCCGGCGATTTGTCGCTGGTGGTGGCGGCGTGTCGCGCAGCAGACCCGGCACAAGTCTTCACACCCTGTCGTCTGACACAGACTGTGCTTCTTTCACTTGCGCAGCAGCTTGCCACGGACATGGTCCACGAGACACAACTCAAGTGCAGGTTAACAATTAAGTTACAGAGGCGAGCACAGTGGCGTAGCGTGGGCAATATTGCAATGTACTAGTAAAAATTACTTTTATTTAAAATTAGAAAATAATTTCCCATATTTGAGAAAACGATATCCTGAAAAACATAAAGGTGGCGATGTCAGGCGAACATAAAAACACAAATGAGCCGAGCCTGCCCCAACGAACTACGTTTCTAATCGTGAAAATAGAGGGGGCAGGAAATTTAAGGTTGGCCCCAGCTGAAATCGACGCTACGCCACTGGGCGAACAGTACCATAAAAATCGGATGAGAGGTGGTTTGAATTTAATACATTGTCAGCTATCGAAATCATTATTGTTTACATATAATTCTTTCCCTCAGATATCTCGAAGAAACGTTAATAAACTTGGACCCGGTACACCCAGCTACGTGTACCTATCTGCCTCTCGTCGTTAGTGAGATTCGAAAGCACCTTAACAACTTTCTCGCCAAGTTTCCAAGCCATGTCGCTCGCCGCAGAATCACACTGATTGTGATGGCGGCCAATAATCTTTTAAAATAATTAAAAATAATCTTGTTATTATTTTTTGTTGATTTCTTAAAATAATAAAATCTATTATTTTATTATGGGTGCATGGTGTATGTCATTTCCATCCCTACCTACCGGCAAAATTATGAAAAAAGTTTTATGAGCCTGTTCTCTATTACGTCACATAATTATTAATACTAGGCGATTTGTGATTGGTGGATTAGACATTAAATTGATATCCCTTCCACTAATAAGCCAATCGATGATAAGAAGAATAATTAGACGTCACATTGAAAACTGGCTTAGTTGTCAATTGCCTTCTGTCATTGTAGTTCTGTCATTCAGTTTATTTATAATATTTTTATTGTACAAATTATAATACGAGAATAGAATGAAATTTGCATTATAAAGCCGTCGACTGAAGTCTGCTTGTGAACCGAACAGTATTAGTGTCGCGTTAGAGGTGTTACTAAAATGGCTTCTCAGTATTGGTTTTCGTTGATGCTGCTCGTTAGCCACGAGCTGCTGCACTGCGCTTCAGCGGCGGTACATCAACACAGCGTGGACACGACCGAGCGGGAGTCGGACGGCAGTTTCCGCGCGCGAGACGCTGGCCACTACGACGACGAGGCGCGTCACAATGTTGAATTCGACCACGAGGCCATTTTAGGTGCCCCACTTTGTTTACATCTCTTTGTTTGGATGTTATACGACGCGAGTGCGCCGGCCGGGTATCGCAATGCTCAGTCGTTGATAAGAAATGCAATAGCGCAACAGTGTGCGATGTCCGTGAAAGTCGCACTGGCGGTGTTGGTGCCGGTTTTTATTGTGGTCACGTATTACTGTTCCATAGGAAGCGTGAAAGAGGCGGAAGAGTTCGATAAGCTGACCCCAGAAGAGTCGCGTGCGAAGCTGTCGTTGCTGCTGCCCAAAATGGACATCAACGGAGACAAGCACTTGGACCCAACAGAACTTAAAAAGTGGATTCTTAAATCATTTCAGTGAGTAACAATCAATTTCTAGTTTCTGCTACTGTAGTGTTGTGTAAGTGGCTAATGAGCAGTTGAAACTCAACAACGATAGACATTTTACGGTGCATGTTTACAGCATGGCCTTATCAGTAATTAATCAATTAAAAGTTGCGAAAAGAATAACTTTTCCACTACTGTAATTGAAAAAGAACATAAACTACAAGAAATAATTTAGACTAAACATGATCCTAGATTCTGAGTTATTAATTTCATTATGTAGAACATACGAAAGAATGTACACAACAAATTGAAAAAAGAAACTAGTGTTTCTATACTAAAAATTTCATTTTTAACGGTCATTTTCAATTTTTTTTTACATCACAATGTAGCTCTTTATGCCTAAGACAATGGCATTTTAATTATTCATTTAATTTTTGAAACCTACATAAAAACCTATTTTCAGCTGTAGCTTCAGTTGAATGAGATTCTTTTATGTATGTGTACATGATAAGTCAAGACCAACATTTAACATAACGATAACTCAAATTTTGTAGAATTTGCATTTGTAACAATAATTTAAATTAATTCAGAATTAAGAAAATAATACAAAAAGTAATAATCATATATTTTATAATGTACGGTGATAACTTGTAGTAAAGAAGTCATTAATGTAATGTTTGAAAATGAAAAAAGTAATTGCAAGTGAAAAGTTCTAATTTTTAAGTTACCATAGTGTTCATTGCTGGTGTTGAAATTACATTGTCTGTTTTAAAATGTTTTTAACCGACTTCAAAAAAAGGGGGAGGTTCAATTGAACTGTTTTTTTTATGTATTGTATGTATTATTATGCAATAACATATGTAAACAGATTTTGGTGATTCTTTTTTGTTGGAAAAAGGGTACTACAGAAGTGGTTCCCTTTAAGTTTGAAAAAAATATTCCAACTCTAAGGGTGGCAAACTAGGGGATGAATGACTTTCGAGGTCGGTTTTTTTAGTACTTTGTACTGAGATTATTTGTTTTACTTTTAATTTTATTAAATTCTTTCTTTTTCTATTGTAACTATCCAATGTTATCAAGTTTGTAAATACACTACTACAAAGTACTACTGTAATGTTTACACAATCCTACAAGATATATATATGTAAATCCCACTGTTCAAAAGTCTCCTCTGAGGTCATTGCATTACAGTTTTTGATCTCAAAGGAGACCAGTGAACATATATTCATAATTATACCTCAATAATATTACAGTAAGTTGCAGTAAGTTTCCAGTTTTTTTTAAAATAAATTTTATGTATAATTATAGAATGTAGAAGCATTTATTATTATTATTATAAGCGTGGCTTGAAGGCTCATGCCATAAAATCTGTCAGAGCCAGGAAAGTCCTTCAGTTCTTCAATGCTGTGGGCCTTGGCTCTGCACTGTAATTAGTGGTGATCACAATAAATATTTGACCATTGACTCATCAGTCAATGGTCGCGCTGATCAAGGGATGCATAGGTCCTGAATGCAGCCACCCTAACAATAATACAGGCTGGCCTATTCAATGTCTGAACACCAGGTATACCAGAAAAAAGCTAAAAACAGAAAACAAGCTACATCGTTTACCACTAATTACAACTTATTTTTTTGCTCCTGTCTTAACATCCCATTTTTCTTTTTTTTTTTGGACACGCATTAGGGAAACCCTGTACCGCGGGTGCCATGGATACACATAGACAACCACAAATAACACCCAAACTCACGAGAGAAATAAATATAGGCAATACAAATATTTCTCCCAGCCCACTATATTTTTATTTTTTTATTAGCTACTGCCATTCTCTCAATATATCTCGCTTTTTATGTCGCTGTCACGCAAGTCGCGCCCTATCGTGCCAGCCCTACAGGATTCGAACCCGGTACCCATGGCGGACCAGCATAATAACCGTAAGGCCATGGGGGCACTTATGTTCACTTAGAGAAGTACAGATACGTCTCATCTACGTCTTGGCAGAATTTATTGTGCCTGCTTTTACTTAGCTTAAACTTGTTCATATTCAAACCATTACCATGACAACCCTGGTTAGCTTTCCGAAGCTGTACCTGCATATTATCAGGTCTTCTGTGGTACAAAAACAATCTACAAATAGCAACTTTCATATCTTCCTGGGATCGTTTAAGTGTCTTCACACTTTAATGTCAAGATAAACCAAATTATAACAATTTTATTGTACAATAAATATGATTAATTTTCTTCAATGCAATGAATTATATCAAAATGTATCTTATTATATTTGCACAGACTAATTTACAATTATTTAAAGTTAATATGAAATATTCTCATCATTTTCAAAATGGTTCATGATACCATTGTATAATACAGGAACCTCTCAAGAGAGGAAGCCCAAGAAAGGTTGAAAGACTCGGACACAAACAATGATCAAATACTGACATGGGCGGAGTATCTACAGGACACATTTGGTGTTGACACTGATGAAGAACTCAGCGCAGAGGACATGGGAGACAGTGGCATGGTAAATCTAAACTATGTACAGAGATTTATATATTAAAGATAAAGATGCTTGAACGGCTCGGGCCGTATTTCAAAATGCATGTGAAATTGCATGTCTACAATCACACTTGGAGTTATAATGTATACAGGGGTATTTTTAAAATAAAATATTAACAGCTTAGCAGGTCTGTATTACTAGCATTATAAACAACAACTTTTATTCCATTATTTTTAGGCTCAATTCATGTTGCGGCGGAACGGAATGGAAGTGAATTTTTGTAGCGATATTGTACAGAGCATAATTAACTTTATGGTCAAATGTGTAACGTAGAAACTAGATACGAGTCAAAGTCTTCCATGGAGTGTGCGAGAATTCCGCAGAAAATTTTGGCTCGTATCTAGTTTGTACACAATTAACCATAAAGTCCATTATGCTACGTACAATATCGTTACAAAAATTCGCTTCCATTCCGTTCCGCCGTAATATAAATTGAGCCTAAATAATTCATCAGATTTCATGTTCATACAAAAATAAAAATATTTAAATAGATCTAAACGGTGATAATTCTGCGTGGTAACAAAAGTAAATACTGTGTAAATACAAGTCCGATGCAAAATGCGGGAGCGGGGTGGGGAACATCGGAGAGACACTTACACATTTGAACTTACTACCAATTTCAGATGTAAAAAATGTCAAATAGTACAAAAAAGCTTTATTGCTTCGACCACATAGAGGCGACAGTGCGTCCGGGCGCGGGAAATACCTCGCCTTAAGTTTCTATATGCGTTCGACCAAATTTTCTTTTGCGTTGCTTGCGTAACTCTAATAAAAGCAGGAAATTGTCTTGATCTTTATTCGGCTGCTTTTGATGTCATACTTGCCGCCTTCGTGTCCTGGTAAGCATTCGCTTTCGGATCCTTTTTCTTTTTTTCCCGCTGAAACGCGTTTGTGAGACTGATCTTTCGTAAATGAAATGAAATGAAATCTTTTATTTCAGGCAATGAAATGCCCATAGACAAAGTGTTAGTAAACAACTAAAACTTAGACTATTGTTAGTACATACAGCACAAATTAACCTAACCTTATTTTATATACAAAAGAACCGATTTGATTTGCCCAATCCAATACCATAGGATTGGGCAATCAAATCTGCCTGCAATCGTTTTCAGGATGCTGTTGGGACTCTTTCTGACACGAGTCAAGAGGGAGACGATCTTTTTCCTCATCAAAAAACTCATGAAACAAAAGTTGTTGTTAATGGTGTTGTTTTGGTAATATTGTATTGCGAGGTTGTTATTATTTTACAAATTATCGTGTATAGGATGTATATAGTACATTTCTGTTAGAATTAACATGTATCGTTGTCAATATTTATAAAGGGCAAGAAGAAAAGCGGTTTAAAAAATGTAAAACGAAAACTGACTGATGTAAGTTTATTTAACGTGTGAGGTCCTACTGCCGCGCGTAAGCAACATTATTCAAACAAGTGTAATTATTTGGGTGTGTTTTTATATTTGTTGAAAGGAATCGGACGTAAATTTAAAGAAGCTTGTTTTATCCATCCAATCCGAACTACCCACCGACTATCCGACAAAAAAAAAAGTGGAATGAAACTCAATTGTACAGATAAATTAAGCTCTTTTAACTTGGTAGTGTGGTCACTGTGTTTGGTAATGCAATTTTTTTTGTTATAAGCACATAACAAGCACAAACATTTTGAATGAGCACGAGCACTGTGAGAAAAACCACAAAACAAAATTTGTTTGCGATGCAGAAAAAATGGCGGTTTTTTTGTAATTACAGTTTTTACACAAATTAATTTTTATTTTAAGTATATTACGTTTTGAGTTTCTTAATTATTTGTTACCATTTTAAGGTGATGGTTCTATAGCTAATACTCAATAAATAAATACACGCAATGCACTTTTCTGCGAATTGTATAAAAAAAAACTGAACTTAATTTTTCTGCGCACGTCGTTCTGCGAAAAGATAGGCTGCTATACAAAAGGTGTCTGACGAAAATGTTCACAATGGATATTTGACATGCAATCCCAGGATATGATGTCCATTATTTCTTAACCATTAAAAGCTGACGAAAAATTTCAGCGTTCAACGTGCTTCATGGTCCTTTGTAACTGAGTCAAAGAGCCATTTGATTATCATATTATTAAATTTGTAGCGTGTCAACCCCATCTAACGCGCCCTGATCGTACTCGTAAGCATCTACGACAACCCATCCCTTGGTGATATAATTAATTCGTTTTTTTAAATATAGATGGGGCCGCTCGCCATCGACCTAGTTTTGCCAAAATATTACCTTTTCCATGACTAAATATAGTAATAATCAAATGACTTAGGGACTCACCACATGTATTCACACGGGATCGCAATAAGCCGGAATGAAAAATTCCGCTCGCCGACGCGAAACACACAACGTCATTCTCGCTTTTATTTTTTTATTACATGGACATATGGACATGTCATATGACATATGTCATGGACATTTTTTTCTGACTGGCTTAATGCATTCCGTGTCGATTAGGGTGGTGGCTCCTTTAAGCACGATTACCGACCCTCACCCCCGCGCGTAGTAAATGTTTGTTCCAGATAGGTAAGTTTTTAAGTGTACGCGTCTTTCTCCTATTTTAGTTCTTGTTTAAAGTATGTACTTTTACGTTTGTACGTTCTTTACCAACTTAATTTTATTTAGCATGGTTAATTTTACATACACTGTATTGTATGTCAAATAATTTTGTTTTTTATTTACAAAATCGATGATGAGATTTCATTGCTCACTAAGACTAGTGGGATATTGAATTTCGGATTTGTTTGCTTAAATTGTAAGTGTACATATTTGACGTTATTTTTATCGATATATAGTTCGAGGACGAGTTAACGAGTAACTTCCCGCCAGATCACAAATTGGTGAGCTTAAAATATTGATTGTACCTATTATTTCCATCGTGTTCATAGGGTCACTATTCTATCCATTAGGACTTTTTCTGGGATTTTTAATTTTAGTTACGGGATTCGGATTTTTAATTGTCACTTTTTTAAATTGAACACTGTCGTTCCTTTATCTGACTTATTGCTGTAACTGGCATTTGGTGAATTTCTAGTAATATACGTTTTGTTTTTTTTTAATCGGTTCACAAAACTGGGTAAAAATAAGGTAAAATTAAAGGTATTTGGTTAACACACGAGAACAATGTGCCCTACTAGATGTGAACACAACATTCCAATAAAAAAAATGGCACAAATATTAATTAAATGACAGTAATTAAAAATTTGTATCTAATATTTTGAGAAAACATGTAACAAACCCTGTAGTGCAGTCAACACATATGGTTTAACACTACACATCATGACCTGGTTTCAATTACTTAACAATGAGTGTATGAATATAAAAAAAATAGTAGTAGTTCGTAGTAGAATATATAAAAAGGTGCATGACGATTAGTGGAGAAAGTATGCTTATGAAAGCTGTGTAAAACCATAATACTTATAATAAAACAAATAGTATTAGTCCGTGCAAAAGCAGCGCGGCTTGTACGTGTACACAGTCGGCATAATCTCGAGGTACACTCGCGTTGCATAGCGCACGCACCATTCATCGTAGAATTGAAGTGTCACTCGAGTGTTTAAAAAATTATGTTAAGTAGTTGATGTATTTATGGCTATTTGAACAAGACTCCCCAAATTCAGAATTATTCAGCATTTTATTTCTATTTAATAATTATACTACCATAATCGGTAATTATAAGGTATATATGGTATATTATGTATTTAATATGGGTATACACCTGTCAGAATTATTATGTTATTACACATAGATAAACCTATCTTTTTCAGATCGATTGCAAACAAACTAACGATTCGATCGTGACTATTGGGATTTGTAAAGAACCCGAAACTTTAATTTGTTTGAAAATACGAATGGAATCCATTTAGGTCCGAAAAAAAATTGTTTCATTTCCGATATAAGAAAACATTTATAATTTTTGCATGGCATATTACAGGACACGCTGTAATTTCCGTAAATTACAAATATTTGTATTTTAAAATGTTCATAGAAAGTGAAATAGGTTCACGGAGGATGCCCGTGAGCTTTGCAGCCTATAGTACCTTTACTTCTACCTTCTTTTCTCGCGTATACTTTCTTCTCTTTCTGACAAACCCACTGGTGGGTATATGCCACGATCTTGCGCTGGTGTCACCCAACTACAGCCTATAACGTCTACCTATCTCGTTGCAGGACGTGACACGGTTCTCTTACCATTTCTTGGCCACTATTCGGTTGTCTCGTTATACCATCTCTCTTTACTACACCTCCCTATGCCAATTGCTCCATTTTAGCTCTATAATCTGATTGCCTATTTCTTGGATTGGCCTTGGAATCTGTTTGAGCCGGCCAAAAAAAGGTTTATGTAAAAAGACGTTGTGCGTTGTGTGCGACTTCAACTTTTTGTGACCGGCTTAATGCTATTTCGTATAGATGAGTGTGATTTTTCCCTTAATTACGTTTTCTTCTTCGTCTTTTTTGTTAGTGCTATTTAAATCGAACTTCATTTATATTTAAACAATCCAATAGAAAAATAATTGAAAATCCTTTTGTTTCAGCTAGGGAATGATAAAAAGGTATATTGTGTTACGTTTTTTAATTCTTTTCTGTCTTCTTTGCTGTGTTGTGGGGAGTAGTTGGTATGGTAGGTAGGTTGATATGGGTTGGTTGGTATGGTCGTATTTATAAAGAAGACGACAGACGAATTTTAGATCTGGCCCTATACTCTCGTTGTGCGTTCGTCATCCGTCCATAGCAATTACTGTCAAATAAGTAATACTCGACTAAATGAAAAGAGACATGATGCGAATGAAGCTTCATACTTCACATTGTGTTTTAACTTCCTCAAGTATTACTTATTTCACAGTAATTGTTGCGGACGGATGTCGATAGGAGAATGAGAGTAGACCCCAGCGGCAGCGTGCTGATTTTGACGTGCGTCTCGAAATCAGATGGGTTTCTGAGCGAGAAGATGCACCTGATTCCTACTATATCTGTCTAATTTGTGAGTTAAATCAACTGTTGTTCCGATTTGAAATGTCAAAGTTTCCGATCGGCCAGTTGTGAATCGCAATTATGCATGTGCACCTCGACTCGGAAACGACGCAGTTTCCGATCGGGAGAGGCAATCAAAATCAAGCTGTTTGATAAATGGTGTACCCTCTATAAAAAACAGACGAATTTTTTTTTCATAAGGCAATCATCATACTTATTAACTGCATAATCGGCTTGAGCCGGCAACAAAAAGCTTTATATCCATACAATAACAATGAAAAAGACGTTGCGTGTAGTGCCTTTTTCGCTCTTATTACGTGAATGTAAGCTTTTTGTTGGCTTAGTGCAGTTGCGACTACCTGGCAAAGAATTTCGACACTTTAAGGAAGAAAGGGCGTAAAAACCAAACTACAAAGTTTATAAAAAGAGTGAAAAACAAAAATTGATGAATATTATATATGGTTCATATTTTTACTATGTTTACGTAAAAGAACGATTTTTTAATTTAATAATAAAACTTTCAGTGGATAGATGGCCGGGGCATGAACATAACTATCGATAACATTTTAATAAAAAAGGCTATGCTAACCTAATGTTTTTTTTCCATATTTGTACTGTATCAAAGACGCGATGCTATTGGTCTTTATTTTGTCTTTGACAGTGTATATAGTGTTGGTGAATTACATGTCAGTGTGCTGGGCCTTTGTTCTCACTAGTTCCGGTGGAAGTAGTCCCGGCGGAACTAGTGAAACTTTTTTTTCTCATTTGGGAGTATGTGTGAGAGGACTGTTTACTGAAAAGCCTAATTGTTTGATCTGTCGCCTCTCAAGTAGAGGCCGTGGGGTCAAATCCGAGCTCTTATCTCCGAGTTTCTCAGAACTTTGCGGTCAAGGAAAACATCGTGATGAAACCTGCACGTCGAAGAAGGTTCATAACCCTCGGAAAACATATAAAGTCCTCCAAACCATTGGGCCACTGTGTCAGACTATGGCCTTAAACCCTCGCCTGAGAGGAGACCCATATCCAGCAATGCGACTTATGAATGGGTTGATCATGTGTGATGTGTAATAGTAATACGTACTGCTCCTTGTGTAATTCCAATACTAATGTCAGACATAATTAATTAATTATTTTTTTAATTAGCTAAGAACTTTTATCATTTCTACAACATTGTTTAGTCCTTTTACTTTAGTAGCAGTCATTGTAAAAGACTTGATCCAATGAAGTACTGCGTACTGTAAGTATTTACGGTCTCCGTCAGGATGGCGCCTAAAAAAGTATTATTAGCAATCACACGGAGAAGATAAACTGTCTTTTTTAAAAGATAACTTTTGTTAAGGCGTTTTAATATTTTTTTAAAATAACTGTACAGCCTACGACCGACAATGCGCTCCATCAGCACTTTACTCAAGCAAATAAATCTACTTATCAATTATTAAACTATCATTTTATAAGATTACGGATACATCGTACAATAACTTTTTATAGAAGCTTTATAGTAAATAGTTATACAAAAAAAAGAAAATTTTATACAGCTAGAACCATGAAAAACGTAAAGTAGTCAGCCAAGCTGACGGCAGAATATTTGGCCACTTTATTTCTTTAATATTTCAGTTTAGCGCCAAGGTAGAAAATATGTCAATGAAAGTATTAAATAGTAGAAAATATGTAGTAAATAATGAGCACAATTTGATTCGTATATATCGTTTGGTCCAGCCATCCTAACGGACACTATTTCTGCTGTCAAGCAGTAGTGTAAACATTACTGCATTTTGGTTTTGAAGGGCTTGACTAAACTTGTTAACTTTACTTTTCAGGGTGACGGACGCAGTGCCTCTTAGGTCTTTGCGATTTAAAGCTGTCAGTGGCACTGTTATGAATAGCCGTGTCGCTTACGACCAGTCACACGACTTGTTCGTCTCGTCACTTGATAACAAAAAAAAATGTTTTTACGTCCTTTCTTCCTGATATATCAATTTAGTCGTATTTAACTGGCGTCACATACATTCGTATTAAATGTATACTTTGCCACTTAATTATTGAGACGGCGATATCATAATACTTGGAAATAACGTACAGAAGTTCGTATTCTGTCGTCAGTCGTGCTCCTAATGGACTTTAGTGTGTTCCTTAAGAGTGAGGCCAGACGAACGTAATTTTGTGAGTCGTGAGTTGCGTTATATATAATAATATAATATGCGCTGCATTCGGTTTCATATAAAAGTCCGGTTCATGCCACACGACCACGCAAAATAATAATAATAACGCACACACTCAACATAGCCCCGCACTAGGGAAACCCTGTGTCGCGGCTGCGATTGACGACCACAAATTATACCCAAACTCACAAGAGAAATAAATGTAGGTCATACAAATATTTCTCCCGGCCCGGGAATTGAACCTGGGACCTCTGCGTGACAGTCAACGGCCACGGTGAGTCGATAGATTACTCATAACTGCCTATGAGTAATCTATCGACTCACGCGCGTAATTACGACTGAATTTCGGTCGCATGACTACAGCACCTCCATTACACTATATGACTTAAGCACCCTGTACAAACGCTTAAAAGCAACTGAATGAAATACGTTCGCCTAGCGCCCCAACCGAATTACAAAATTGCGCTCGTCTGGCCTCAGCCTAACGTGCTTTTATAATTATTTCTTGTCTAAGTAGTGGGGGCATTTCTTGGCCAACATACATACTAACACGCTTATCTCTTACTGGAATTGATAAAAACCAAGAACCTCAACTTATTGTTCTCCTGACAAACCTCTTTCCCCAATCCTCCTTGTCCTCTTTCTCCGCTTTCTTTCACATACATAATTATGCCTTTATATAATAATGCAGTATTTCAGAATAACCACGATTTTCAATTGAGCATACAGCGATCAGCTAACCATTATATTTTATTATGAAGAAGATCTTTTAACGCCAAAAATGTTTTAGGAAGATGGGTGATTTATTCACGATAAAGTTTCGCTCGCTCTGATTATCTGTGCTTAATTTAAATTCAGTGACACTGCGTTATTTAAAGGCACCGATATAAAAATGAAACAACTTGAGAGGATAGCCAGCCCTACTGAACTGCGCGACCCTGTTAGTCATGTCGATTTTGATATACATTGAAATAATGTACGAAATATGTAGATGTAAGTTGTTAACATAAGGAATTTATTACTGCTACCAGTAGCTCACTAGAGATGTTGCTTTAATAATTGTAATTAAATTTAATGAATGTCAGGATGTTTCAATTATTTTTTGTGAAATCACTGCACTAGATTGTTGTAACTATTAATACAAAGATCGAACAATTAGAAAACTTCCTTCTATCGGCTGGATTCAAATCAACGTCTTCTAACAAACCGTAGCAGACGCTAAGCCAACTAAGCTGTAGAGAAATCGTTAAGAAATAGATTTCTCGCAGATGGCGCTACGGCAGAAGAGTCATTAAAAACCAAAACAAATATCTGCTACAAGCACATAGAAATTCGTAAGGTCGGCTCGTTCGTTCCGTGGTTTAATTGGTGAAACATCCTAGCATTCAATAAACTTAATTACAATTATTAAAGCGACATTTCTAGTCAGCTGCTGGTAGCTGTAAAAGTACCTGGCTGAGTTAAGCAATAGATATCTTACAGAATTTATTACTTTGACTAGGTTCAAAATTATATATAATATAGAAAACATTATACATTGTCTTGAATCTTTTTGAGTCGCAAATCACAAGTTTTTGAATTCATATCGAATAAGGTTACCTATCAGTAGTCCGAAATGACATTTTCCAGAAATAACGTTTGGTCGAAATTTCACAACCTCGAAAGTCATTTTGAGAGGAAAATGTTTTTTCTTTTAAACCGAACTTAACCTAACCTAATCGTATCTTTACGATAAACATTTAACATATCCTGAAAGAACAACTGTTTTGTTATAATTCGGTTTTCGGTGTAATGGAAATTCGAACAAACGTTATTTCGAACAAAAATCTTTCGACTTTGTGATAGGTTACCATCGAATAATTTAACTGTATATTTATTAGAAATTGATTTCTCGATCAGTATAATAGATATAGTTAAAAGACGTTTGCAAGAAGTGCGAGCGCCAGACTATCCTCTTTGCGGTCATTTCCGTTCCATAGCCTCAGAAAAGTCCTATTCTTAGCTCTGAAATATATTTGTGTTAAATGTAGAATCTGCGCTAAGTAAGATCAAAAGCTCACAGGTAGGTGCATATGTGTATATTGATTTTAGTTTAACTTTAAAAATTACATAAAAATACAGAAATTTAGCTGCCACTTGTAAATCTGTAAGTACTTGTGGATTGTTTGTTTTTTTTGTAGTTAATGTTTGGAAGTACACTGAAAGCAAGCCACACAGTTTACATTGTCCTACCTTTCGAGATATTAATTAAAATGTATTATATTTCTCCATATTAAAAAAATCAAAATATTTTTTTTCTTGTAAACAATAAACATTTTCGAGAAATTACAAGAACAAAAATTGTCAGAAATGTTACATTTGTCCTATAAAAAGAAACTGGATCGGTATTCCACAAATTATGCATACGATTACGAATTATCAGCTTGGGCCTACTGTGGGACGATATTTTTAACTGGTAATCTAGATTAACGCATGAGGTACTGTGGGGCTTCCATATAAAACTTAATTTAATAAGAGTAGCGGTTATTTAATGCAAATGTAGATAAACTTAACCACATTTGTTATACTAATTGTGTACTCGAGAAAATATGGTGCATATTCAAAAGTTTAACAGCAAATTGTGCGCGGCTAACATCAAACAAAACAAAGAAATACTAAAGGAAGACACACGAAAACGTCTAAGGCGAGTAAAAGCGAAATACCTATTTGTTTTGTTTCGATAATCGATTCCACCATTGCACGATCCGCTAAAGAGCCCATCCCCACATCCTTGATTCGTGCATTCTGCAAACGTCACGTTCTTTCCTTCTTCGAACCCGCAGGATGTGGAATGGGCTCTCTCCTGAAGTGTTTCCTTTGCGTTAAGACAATTAGGTTCTTCTTGGCAAGTAAGGGTGTCACTACACTTATTAATGCGGAATTGGCTTGAACCTAAATATTTTTTGACCGGCTTAATGTGATTCAGTGTGGTGAGACCCTAACCAGGGCTCTCAATATTTTGCAACTCATAATACACAATTCCTCTGGTGCTGCAAACGTCAATAGTCTCGTCTGCTCGTTTGCCGCCTACATTACAGTAAAAAAAATATATACAGGGTGGAAAAAAAAACTGCGACATGAAGGGGAATTAAAATGTTTGAGATAGCTTATTTTACTTAAAGCAAACATTATTTTATTTTTCTTAATATTAATTTATTCACCGAATTTTTTAAAAGCTTGCCTGAATCGGGCTTCGAACCAACTAAAAATGCAAAAAAATTAACTTAAGTTTTATTGTAAATGGATATAAGAAAGAAAGAAATCATTTATTCCTTGAAACACAGTGCACATGCATTTTATAATAATAATAATAATTCTGATAATAATAGTAATAATAACCTAAGGATTAACTAAATACATATAATATATAGAGTACAAAGCGTGTGTGCTGTGCTGCCAAGGAAACCGTGACCCACTCAGCTTGTTGTCGTCTCACATTCAAGTGCTACGACGCTGATTTTCAGCGGATCCGGCAGCAGAACACACGTGACACGGAACATAGTAGGCGACACTAAAGACATTGGATGACACAAGCCCATAATTATATTAATCTAAACACAAAACATGAACAGTCTATTCCATTAAGATACAATTAACGTAGTTACCATTTAATAAGTACTATGTCATGAGCAACAGATTACAATACAATTGAATGGAAATTAATATGATAAAATTGGAAAGTTATAAAATAGGGTATCAATATAAAATATAAACAAATATCGAAAACACATTTCAACAAAATATTTACTTCACTAATTACTCCCTCAAGGTCACGTAGTGGACGGAGTTTGTCAAAAAAACGACACGCTTGATACCTTTAAAAAAGAGCAACGTCGCCGTAGATTTATTTTTGTGGATTGGATCGATAATAAGGATAAAATCGCTCCAATGTGTCGTACAATTCCTATAAGTTCCTTTAAGTAAAATTAGCTATCTTAAGCATTTAAGACCACCTTCATTTCCCATTGATTTTTTCCGCCCTGTATATCGTATGTAAACGATATACAGTAAATGTATATATATATAAAGTAACTGTTTTTCAGTTGGTGCGAGAAGAACGAGCCATGTGGAATATGGCTGACAAGAATCAGGATGGGGCACTCGACTTCCAGGAGTTTGAGGTTTTTTTTCTTTTCATTTTTGTTGATATCATATACACACAAGACCACTTAATATTTCATTGTAAGTGTCGGTTAAGGCGAGGTTTTTTAATGTGAGCCTAGATTTTAGGAGGTGAGGTGGCTGTCACCACTCGCGTCGCGCCATCCGCGCACTTAAAATAAATGTGAATAAAATAAGAACAGGTGGAGGAAATTTCACAAAGATCCGACATCAACAAGCGCCCGATGGCGACTAACGGGGCAGCGGGCGGCACGGCTTGTTGTTAAACCGCTAGGCAATTTACAAATTTTGAGATAAATGTGAATTACATAACTATAGAGCTTCAGTTGAAAACCAAAACTTAGCAGGTTCTCTGCAGTATCTAAATATCTCCATAAAAAAAAGTTATACTGTATATAAGGTAGATATTTTATACTTAAATACTTCGTTTTAGAGTTTTATTTTAGCGTGTTTTCCGGATTTTATATGATCGAATGAAGTACATCCTATCGAGGATCGATTATATAACCAGAAATAAAGACGAAATAAGGGTTATATACACCTGGTAACTCATCAGTGAAACATCACTTATACATATCAACTCTCGCTTGCACTGAAATATAGATAACGCCAACAGCTGACCTGTGTGTACGTCTCCGTATATTCCAAATGTATTCTGTATTTATTGTAATAAAGATAATATCTCTAACAATGGCGTCCTGTTCAATTAGGCGGTGTGGGGAAAAACAGCAAAACATCTAATTACAAAGCAAACGGAATCAAATTTCATCGGTAATTAAATATGAAATATGTAATTTTTCAATTTTCGTCCATTATAGCAAAGTTCAAGTTAACTGGTCGATTTGAAGTGACACAGTTGACGATACCCATTGACGACACCCGTCAATTGTTTCGAACTCGGGCTAGCCAATCGGAGCGCAGTCGTCACAGTAATGATATGGCAGAATAGTTTTCAAACAAATTAAATGACATTTCGTCTATATTTCTGGTTATGTACTCGATGCTATCGTGTAACGAATTAGCACATTTTTTAGACAATATGCTTAGGTGTATTGTATATTTAAAAAAAAAAAAAAAAAAAAAAAGGTGTTTGTATATCCAGCAAAACAGATTTTCCCGGTAACTCGCCTTAACCATCTACGAACCACGGCTTAGACGATGTTGTCTATGCCCATCTCGTTGCAGAACGATCCACGTTCCTCTCCTTACTGCACTTGTTACCACCCCGCTTTTTTTAAAGATTACCAAATGACAGGACGAACAAGTCCTACGTAATAACTTTACTTGAACTAGTCTGCCATGCCGACGTCTCGGGTTCGATTCCCGGGCGGAGAGAAAAATATTCGTACGCCTTACTTTTATATCTCTCGTTAGTTAGGGTGTCATTTGTGGTTCTTTATGTGTGTGTCCATGGCACCCGCGGTACAGGGTTTCCCTAGTGCGGGGTTATGAGTGTGTGCGTTATTATTATAAGATTTGAGAGACACTGCCACTGCCCCCGTCACCCAGAGACATAAGTTGACAAGTCTTATTTGTTTGTAATTTTACCAGCACCTTTAGGCCACAAATTCGCAACTGTGGTACGTTCAGCGGGTCCACGCCAACACAACGCATTAATGCTTACATTCAGGCTTAGCTTGGCGGCAGAAATAGGTAAGGTAACAGTACATCCCTGGGCGAACTCTTTTAATCTGCCTCTCATGATTCATTAAAAAAAATTATATATAAAAAACTATAATTATATTGAATCAAATAAGTGAATGACCAAATGACCTTGATATTTGCGCTCATATCGTCTGTTTCAAATAACAGACTGAAACTGAAATGCTCACGTTGTTATCGATTTATCGCAAAATGTAATAGTCGATTGCAAGTTTTATTATAACATTCGCACGAGTAACTTGGTTCTATAATTGGTTTTCTACACCACAAAAAAGCCGTATAAAAAGTAGGGCAACGGTTGATTTATTACCACAAAACCTGTCTTTAATCGCTATTCTCAAACTAACCTACGTTTCAGGCTCTTTACAGGTCCCATAGTCAAGGCTAGTTAAGATTTCTATTCACAGCGGTGACCGTGGCTCCTGTACAGATCCCAAAATAAAAAATAAAAAAAATTAAGTGTTTATTAAAAACGAACTTTACTACAGGCCTACCGCTTAACTGAGTCGATTCCTGATATAAGCTGCACGGTGCGGGAGGAGTGACAGGTTACGTAACAGTTATGTCGCGCTGCACACGGGATAACTTCAACAAGATTTTTCTGACGATATTCTATTCTTGTCTATTCAATTATCAAAGAAAAAAACTATTTCATTGATATGATTTCATTGATGAAATGAATAGACAACTGCGCAAAAGTGTTGCACGCTTGCGTGCAGCTAGGGATTGCAGTCGATAAATATTCTATCGACTATCGATTGTATATTGGTCACGCTTAGGGAATAAATAACTGAACTTTTTTTCATTTGAACCATCCTCGACCATTATTCATCCAAATACTGAGCACACGTTCATTTGAATTGTCAATTTTTGTAAGTTCACACATACAGTATATTCAGAACTATGTTTATGAAAAATACAAAAACGAGACATATTAAAGTTTTTCATTTTGATTTAATATAGATAATCAAATCCGGCTATTCTTGTTGAATAAAAGAATAAATATTTATATTAGTAGGCCATCTGTCAAAATAAGAATAAAGAAGGCAATAACGCAATTGGTAATCATTTGAACGTCGTAACTTTCACATATCATCCATTTTTGGCAAAATTTTATCTTTCATAATCTATCGAAAACGACTACATAACTAGGTATATAAAATTTTATGAAAACTGGCAACCCTTTTTTTTTTACCCTACAAACCAAAATCACAGATTTTAAGCACTTTTTTCAATGGACTTGCTATTGAATATCGTCAGAAAAATCTTGTTAAAATGATCCCGTGTGCAGCGTAAACAGTCACTCCTTCCGCACCGCGCAGCTACCTCAGGAAACTACTTAGTGCAGCGGTATGCCTGTAATTACAAGGTAATAAAGTAAAAAAAAAATTTACTTATCAGTGGCGAGACGTGAAAATAGTTTTTAGTAAAGCCGGAGCAAAACAAAAAAACACTCGCCGTAACAAGTGGCGCCTTGGTGACAATTAAACACAGCACTTATTAGCACACGGGATACTAGTACACTTTATTTCACTGGTTAACTATTCTACACGCAAAATTGAATGTATTACTACATTCAAAATATGTATAATATTTGATAATAAACACTGTTACTTATAAGATTTTAGTACTTTAGTGCTACCCACTTAAATCGATATAAAGAACAGTTTACTGAACTTACCTTTTCATACGGTGTTTGTTACAGATCGTAAATTAAATATTGTTAAATTTATACCTACTGTGTTTTGTGTTCACATCATCCCCGCTGTTGTATTGATTGATATCGTATAATTAAATTCTTAGTTTGCTTTTTGTTTTTATTTGTGGTTTTTGTACAATAGTTCAATAGTTTCCAGTAACTTTTCAATATTTAGAATCAAAATCAAAGTCAAAGATTATTTATTCCATAGGCAAAATAAATTTACACTTGAAAACGTCACAGTTAAGCTACTGCTTAATAATATTACTTTCAAAACTTAACAAAATAAGAAACTAAACAATAAGAAAAAAGCTGGTCGTTCTATAAATGACACTGTTGCTGTACAGATGTTCTCAAACCCAGAGGAGCATCCCGAGATGCACGGGTTCCTGGTGAACCAGACGCTGCGCGAGAAAGACGTCGATCGTGACGGAATGATCGACTTCCAGGAGTACGTCGGCGAGCGCGGTAAGCCTACCTACACCATTTATATACAATTGTAATGGCCATTATATTATTATATAACCAACGGTCGGAATAGGGTGTTGAATGAGTAGATAAATGTATACATACAGATACAAGGAATGACATGGAGTGGTTAAAACCACCGACTATTAATTTATTACTTTTTTCGGATTCGGGATTTCCGGAAATTTTACTGCATCGTAGGATAATTTAAAATATTATGTATATAGGTCAATCACTATAGGTCAATTTTACAACATCATACCAAAGTACTGGCATGTCATAATTATGTCAAAATCCGCCAGGTACATCATTACATTTACATTATACAAGGTGTTAAAAATTAGGCAATCTTGGCTCCAAGTTATAGTCGAATACACACATCGAGATGAGCGTCATTCCAAGGTGAATAAGTTATCGTAATAATAACTGATGTACACACATCAAAAGTATCTAGGTGTCAAGCACCATTTTGTCAATTACTGAAAATACGTTTTTTTATTTTTTTCACACCAATTATTTTTTTGGTCGTTTTCATAATTTAAAAAATAAATAAATGAAGGAATAATTTTATAAATTTATATAGATATTTTTTTTTAACTTTAATAGGGTAATCAACAGTTTAAAAAAGAATATCTTGAATATTTTAATTTTTTTATTACACGCGAAACTTTGTAAGTGTGTGTTAGTTTTGTGGTGTTTGTGTAACATCAAAATCCTTGACAACGTCAGGAAATACTCGTTGTTTCCTAGATTTGCCGATGTGTCTGTATTCTTTACGTCTTTTCTACGTCCTGTCAAGTACAGTCGTGGTCACTTGAAGTTGTATCTTCCAAGAATTGATTATATTCTATCACAGAAGAGTTAGTTAACACTTCAGCTTATACACATTTAATTTCGGACTTCGAATCTGTTTATCGGGCTTTAAGAGTCTCAATTGTAGGGTTAAAACCTAATTTGTCAGTTTTTTAAATAACGTAAATGTTGATTATCAGAGTTAATGCTACGACACAAAGGACAGTAAGTGTGTGAGAATATGATGATATACCACAACATGTTTTAAATTCATGGCGCACGAAATTATAGCACTTTAGAATTAGAAGTAACAATCTGAGGCATCTATGTGTAGATGGGAGCTGTTAAACCCTTGATTATTTCTTATACGAAACAGTAACATCAAATCCATGGCAACACTAATGATCATGAATCATTTACGTCATATACAACATAGAACATGCTTCTGAACCGTAGTATGTGAATTAATTTTTTCGTAAAAGTTGTTATAATTGGATCCTGAACAGCGATAACGTGTCAACTGACACGATCATAGTTTTGCCAGGGCTCCGTCATTCGCTCGAGGTTCCGCGATGATTGCCTACCGCAGAATGTACCGCCAACTGTGTAAACGCTCAAACAAGTCTTTCATTTACATTACAGTTCTTGTACAACCCCAGCATTCGGTTCCGCGCGACTGCACACGGCGGGCAACGTTATTTTCACTTCTCTGAGCGCGTGCTTAGGTTCCTTTTTCCTCGTAGTGACCGCCTGGTTTCATTAGTCAGATTTAGTACGCTATTATAGCGTATGTATTTTCGGTTTTGCATGAGAGTGATGTATTTGTTACATGGTAACTATTATAAGATCTATGGTTTTGCGAAAATGGTTTTTGATAGTTTGTTTCAAAATTTACTTTTGAAACAAACTTGAAAATTAAAACTTTTACTGTTGTGCTTGTAGTTATTGGGGAATTATAGTAATAAATCAGAACAATGCGTCATTCCTGCCTCCGTGGCCGAGCGGTTACCACGCTGGATTGCTACGCAGAGGTCCCAGATTCGATTCCCGGGCCGGGAGAAATATTTAAATGACCAACATTTATTTATCTCGTGAGTTTGGATGTAATATGTGGTTGTCTATGTAACTCCATGCGCGATTCAGGGTTTCATAAAGAATAAAAAAAAATTAGAACTCAAAATCAACGAAAAAATCATTAGGTGCCATTTTTGCACAACTATGGACATGTTCGTTGACACGTTATTGTACATCAGCATCCAATTAATTTCACGTTGGATGGGTACGGTGACGTTTCTAGAGATCTAGTGATGTAAAATCGAATGACAAAAAATACGATTAAATGAATTCTATATTCATTATGAATTATCTCGATATGATATTTAAAAGCAATAATTTCAGAGCAAACAATCAAACTCATTAACTAACTCTTATTTTACTGGCAGATTAACACCTCTTGTTCCGTAATTAATCGAACTCTATACATTTTGAATAAAAAAAAAGCTATTGTTTTAAGTGTCATGGCCTTCCGAACTTGCTTTCATAATATTATACGATTCGTTCTATATTAAAAAAAAAACGAAAAAAGCTACGTACTAACGACATGCACATTCATTATCGTGTAGTTTTGTAATATACACATGACGCCATTTGCAACGCACCTTTGTTGAATGTTTTGGTAGTTAGTGACCCTGGGAACAATCTAGATGTTTCTACTCGATTACGACTAGGCCAGTAGAAGATTTTTCGTTTCACTGTGCTCGTTCGTACCGTTACTCATACAAGACAATATTATAATAATAATAATAAATGTATTTATTTCAGAAACTTACAGACAAATTTCTCATTGACAGTGTTAAGAGCTCTCATGCCAAGAAAGTTTTGACGTTGACTCCGCCCAAATTTGTGAAACAAATATATGCCTAAAATTCGAGTGACATGCGACAGGAGATGTTGAATTTTGCGCATTAAAAGTACCAAATTCGTTTTAGCGGAATAACTCTGAAACTAAAGGGATTAAAAAAATATCCTTAGTGACAGTTGTGGATCATGCATAAATATAATTAATTATCTAATTTTTGTCCTAATAACCTGTAGCATTTCGAGGATAAATCGAAAAAATTTGAAAATTAGAGGTAATTTCGTGATTTTTATCTATCGAGGAAACTTTATTGTTTTATGTTTCTGATTAATGTCTATGCTTGAATATATCGTGTAGTTGCTCATACAATATTTTATTTTTAACTTTAAAGTGGATATACCCCTCTATAATCAAATCGAAGAATAGGAATAGGAATTTTTCCTCTGCTCCCTCTTAAGCTTGCAATATTGCATTCTGTATCTGAACTAGACAATTAATTATTTGTATTTCAGAGATCAGCGCTCTTCCGTGAATACAAGCACATATGACTGATTTCAAAAATAACATTGTCTTCTAAAATAAGTCTAGGGACATTGAGTTTAAATTTAAAGTTCCTTACAATATACTTATAATTTTAGATGTGAGTAGTGACCTCCCTGTGAGTAGTGTGCGATGATTGAATGTGTGGGGGAGTGTGTGTTGGTTAAAAGGGGAAAAAAACTACTTGCTGTATAAAACTTAATAAGTACTCGGTTTCGTCGTAGGTCACTTTATGGATATACTCTGCTACTCTTTGTGTACATTCTCTTTTGTTTATTGAATGTATATCGATTGTTCTATTATATAGATGTGGACCCAAAAAGCAACAATATTTATTTACATATTTATATTTAAATTTTGGTACAGGATATGTCATTGTACGGTATAGCGTTACGTCGCCTGGATTTTATTTGATTATTTCTATGATCACGTAAACGCAGTGTGATTTTTTTAAATAACGTCAAGTGACGCGACGAACAAGTCGTGCGCCTGATGGTAAGCCACACGCTTGTTAATAACAGTTACAGTGCCACTCAGAGCTTTAAATTGCAAAGATCTGAGGGGCACTGCCACTGCGTCCGTCACCCTGGAGCATAAGTTGACGAGTCTCATGTGCCTGTAATTTCACCAGCAGCCTTCAAGACACTGTAATGCTGACATTACTGCTTGGCAGCAGAAATAGATAAGGTAGCAGTACTTCTCTAGACGAACTCTGTCACAAGGAGCTCTACTGCTACTACAATGTGAATAGTGAATGAGAATATCGTATTCAAAGAACAATGACGTAATAATTGTTGAAATTGTGTAATTCTTTAGCGTCTTCAATTATGATAATTACGAATTTGAATAAAATAAATTCGTTAGGTTTCTTAATATATCATAAAGGCCTGTTGAAGGCTGGAAATAAAATCATATTTAAATGAAACTCATATGACTAATTAGTATGTAACATAGACATATAATTAATAAATAAAACGTCTGCCGCTATTTTGGTAAATAAATAAAAAGTAAAATGGTTCTTTATATAAACAATACTTATTACATTACATAACATTTAGATTTAATTTTATTAACGGAAAATTATTATTATTAGCGAAGTTAATTAAATTTAATTGACAATTAAATTAAATTGAATTTACGTTACAAATAATAAATATAATTAATTTTTTTGTATTTTAAAAATGGAATGTTCGCTTAAAAAGTATCATGTATCTTATACTGTCCTTACATTAATGCTTAGGCCACATTGAATCGCGCGGCGGTTGCGCGTCTTCCGAAGAATTCTCGCGTAGTCTCGGGAATTTTCGCAGCTACCAAATTCACATAAAGTCCATTATAGTATATACAAATCCGTTGCAAAATTTCGTATCCATTACGTGCGGCAATGTAAATTGAGCCTTATTATAAAATTAGTAATAAATGTAAATATTTCAAAGTTAGCAATCAATTTAGTGACAAAATTAATGTAACTTAGGGTACGGCTCAAGGTTCAGTTTTGGGATCGTTACATTGTCTGACGTATGTCAATGATGTTGTCCACCTTATAAATAAATGCGAGATATATCAGTTCGCTGGTTGCAGCTTCCATAAATATAAACGATGCATTACGTTGCTTACAACACGACTTTACGTTGTTAACTAACTGCCTCCGTGGCCGAACGGTTACCATGCCGGACTGCCACGCAGAGGTCCCAGGTTCGATTCCCGGGCCGGGAGAAATGTTTGTATGGCTTACATTTATTTATCTCGTGAGTTTGGGTGTAATTTGTGGTTGTATATGTGTGTGTCCATGGCACCCGCGACACAGGGTTTCCCTAGTGCGGGGCTATGTTGAATGTGTGCGTTATTTATTTATTTATTTAACAAAATGGTCCCACGATGTCGGTCTGGTGCTTAATGCAAGTAAAACAAAATTGATGTATATAAGTTCGAGTAAAAACATGGTTGCCTACATACAGACCAAACAGACTGTGTATGCAAGGCGATTGAAGTGGTAAAAACACAGCGATACCTCGGACTTATAATTGAATAGATTCAAATGGACGAATCACGTTAATCACGTATGCGATAAGCTGCGGGCAATACTTGCCAAGTTTTCTCTGATACGAAATAAAATTCCATTCCAAACTCTGTTATCTCTTTATATGGCTTTAGGAGAATCCATAATTTCTTATGGCCTTAGTAGCTATGGTAGGTCATGTAAAAATAAGCGGAATTTAATTTATCAACTTCAATTACGTATAATAAAGATAATAGTTCCATACAAAGTTAATACATAAAAGTAATTATCACGATCTCTTCGAATATTTCAAAATCTTACCGATTCATAATAAAATTAAATACACCTTACTTATAGAACAATTTTTTAATAAAAACTTGCAAGAAAAAAGTCAGTCACAAAATGGAAACTCGAAGTGTAACCAATCAATTAGTAATAATACCTCGTTATAATAATATATACGATAAAAATCGACTGGATTATCAGATACCTAAAATAATTAATTGACTACCACTAGAAATAAATGTTAACCTTACAACTAACAGCATAAAAACAAATCTTAAATCATATTTATTAAATAAACTCTGAACGTCCTGTATACGTGAGGTTTTTTTTTATTGTAACACACTCCGAGGGTATTTATCTGTTTCGCTATAACTTACTAGTGTCGTTCACAGGTCTTTTACTCGAGTAGTGGTTGTTTTTATGGTAGTGGGTAAGCGTACGTAAGCAAACGGGTTAGCCAGTTTTGTTACGAGCTCACGTCAATGAATCGCGATGTACGGATAAACCTATTCAGTTTTTTGTTGTACCGCTAAGTTTTAATTTATAAGTTTTCTTTTTGTAAAAATTTTTTTTTTAATAAATAATAAATAAATGTCACTTATACAATATACGGTTAATTACAAAATCACGAATTTCTTGTCCTTTAGGTTTAAAAAAAAATTGATTCTTGCCGTAAAATTAATATTTAATAGCAAATTATAATTCAATTGCTAATAGTGCTTACATAACGTATTTATTATTCTGTTTAAATAAAAATATTAATAATATGAAAATGCCCCCAAAATCATTGCCGCACCCTTTTACCTTCACTAGATTTGTGAACGCATTTTTTATCTTTGGTAAAAGTATTTACAAGTTTTTGAAAGCTTGCAGCTTTGTAAACGTTTCAATTTTTTTCATTTAAAATTCTAAAACTTACAATTTTGACAGTCATTCCCTCACACCACATAAAAAGGAGTTAAGCATTTGATTTTATGTATTAATTATACACTCAATTTATTGGTAGTAGTAAGCTTACACAAAATATTTAATCTAAAAGTAAGTTTATATCGCTGTTTTTTTCTTGGTTTGTTTTGATTTCGTCATTCCCTCGCCCTCAGACGTCCTGAATACCCTTGCTTTTTTTTAAAGTAATTTATTTTGGGGAGCAATATATATCTTCAAAAACTATTTACATAAATACTATGTGAAATTTACAAAAAATAAATACAAAATCTTCCTAATAATTTTCATCAATTATTGTGATGTGAGAAGTTTATAGTTAAGTTTACAATGATTGTACTTTTGTCTAACCCCTTGGTTCCCAAAGTGGTCCAGGTGGACCCCGGGGTCCACGAGAGACTCGACGGGGGTCGACGTTGGCGTGACAAAAAAATGGGGGTCCACGAAAATTTATCTGCTTTCGATAATGAAGAGCTAAAATGTTGGCTTGACTTCACCTATCAATAATAATAATAATAATAATAAATAACGCACACACTCAACATAGCCCCGCACTAGGGAAACCCTGTGTCGCGGATGCCATGGACACACACATAGACAACCACAAATTACACCCAAACTCACGAGAGAAATAATTGTAGGCCATACAACTATTTCTCCCGACCCGGGAATTGAACCTGGGACCTCTGCGTGGCAGTCCGGCATGGTAACCGTTCGGCCACGGAGGCAGTTAAATCAATGCAGGCAGATAATATTTTAAGAAACTCAGCGACTGTTACTTGTAAAAACTTGCATATTCCCTGTTCAGTACAACGTGCCTTTACTTTTTTGATATCCACTCACAGCACAATCAATTAAATTCTCACTTTTTTTCGAAAACTATTAATTTGTGTTTGGAACTCAGCAATTTGCGTTGCAAATTTCCATAGTTAGATCTAATCTTCACATTTTTTGTCGAGTTTTGGGAGTATGGTAGAAATTTAGCTAGCTGCAGGGGGTCCACCCGAACCAGCTAAATTTTGAAAGTGGTCTGAGAAAAAAGTCTAGGAACCTCTGGTCTAACCAAATATTATTGTATTTGTTTTAGTGCATGCTGTGCCCTTCTTTAAGTAATGGGACACTTAGTTTAAAACCATAGTGTCTACTCTATATACCTGTTATAGTGTACTCATTGATGTGAGAGCCTGATTAAATAAATAAATAAATATCTAAAGCACGAATTTTGGAATTTCATGGTTCTTTCAGCGCTGCACCAAGATCGCGATTGGCTGTTGACAGAGCGCGAGCGCTTCGAGACGGAACTCGACGCGAACAAGGATGGGAAACTTGACGTCGTAGAGATCAGGAACTGGATAATTCCGAACAACGAGTAAGTTAAAAAAGTGCCGTGCTTTACCTGTGGTGCAGGGTGTGCGTAGCTCAAGGGCGCGAAGTCTCAGGTAGCGCTAGCGTCACTTGCGAAGTATTGGTTCAACTTCTTCCGGCGCCAAACGGTTACCATCCCGGTCTCTACTGCTATTAAAACAATTCTCGCTACTAAAATTGCTGTCCACAATTGGTTCTCATAGCTATAAGTTTTCATCTTTGTGCGTTGTGGAATGCAATAAAATTACTGATTATTGAAATAAATATGCGCATCGGAATTAGTAATATACTTTACATGGTTTGTTATGAGCTTAAACAATTTTAGTATATCAAGTTTGTTGTTATTATTGACATAAACAAACACAAACAAAAATTTCTTCGATCCGGCTGGACTCGAACCAACCACCTCACCTTACCGGGGCTATTGCTGTTCCCCAAAAAAAACCATGACAATCAATAAAAACATCAATTATTATCCATTCAAAAACTAAATACAATTCAATTCATTTAAAAACTAAATTAATTACATAATTGTTAATTCAATAAAACAAATAATTAGTATATCTAATTTTTGCTATAGTTTTTAACCGACCTCAAAAAAAGGAGGAGGTTCTCAATTCTGCTGTTTTTTTTTTGTGTGTTTTTTTTTTGTGTGTGTATTTTACCCGATTACTCTGGCGTTTATTAACCGATTCCTGATGATTCTTTTGTTGTTGAAAAAAGGGTACCTCAGTAATGGTCCCATTTGAATTTCAAGAAAATATTCCCTCTCCATGGGTGGCAAACTAGGTTTCGCGCACTTTCCGGTAACCTATTTCAATAAAACTTGGCAAACAGATGTAATTCCACGAAGTTTTGGGGTCCATTTTTTTATAATTAAAATTTCAGTGAGATAGCTGAGGACGAAGTGCATCACTTGTTCGCGGCGGCGGACGACGACCACGACGACCTGCTGTCTTTTGACGAGATCCTGGAGCACCACGACGTGTTCGTCGGCAGCGAGGCCGCAGACCCCGACCTGCTGGGGCAGCATTTCGACGACGAACTTTAGAGTAAGGACTTACAAGTAAGCGTGTTTGCTAACTCATTCATTTAATTTAAATTCAGATCAGGATATTTAGTTTCATAGTCAACCAAATTATAAGGCTGCTAACAGATTGGCTGCATGTATGCAGTTAGTGCGTAACTTCAAGTATGTAACCAGAAATAGTGACGAAATGGCATTTAATTTGTTTGAAAACTATTCTGCCAAATTATTACGGTGACAACTGCGCTCCCATTGGCCAGCCCTAATTCGAAACAATTGACGGGTGTCGTCAATTGTTTCACTTCAAATCTACCATTTTAACTTGAGCTTTGCTATAATGGACGAAAATTAAAAAATTACATATTTAATACTTAATTACCGATGAAATTTGATTCCGTTTGTTTTGTAATTAGATGTTTTGCTCTTTTTCCCCACACCACTTAATGGAACAGGACGGCATTGTCACAGATATTATCTTTATTACAATAAATACAGAATATTTTTGAAATATACAGAGACGCACACACAGGTCAGTTATTGGCGCTGTACTATTTCAGCTTTCTCATTTGAGATTTAATTGCAAACGAGGGTTGATATTGACATAAGGCCCATTTGCCTGTTGAGTTGCCAGAAATGGATGGCCCTTATTTCGTCTCTATTTCTGGTTATATGTATAGTCGATGGTACGTGATATTGTAATCAACTTCATGTTTATAACGACTTCACGCATTAACGAGAGCATAGACTTCTCACCCTAAACACGCTTAAAGGTTTTGTTAAACGATTTTAATAAACGTCTTATTGTCCTCAGCAGTCATACAAGAGGCCATAATCAGAACAGGCGCTTCCCACTCGTGATGAAATAGCTTTTGTTACCTTAATCTAAAGTCTCTTTACACACACGCCACTTAATATCGACGATCGATTTTTGCTGCTCCATTGTTGCATAACGCTTTGTCGACTTACTGCGTAGTGAGGTGTTTATACTATACTCTATCCAAATTGGACGTAGAATGTTTAATAATAAAATGTTGCTAGGCAATCAATGATGACATAGGAAAAGAACATTTTTTCAATGCAAATTATTTATGCTTGCCCTCTCCAGGGCCTGCTCGCCTAATTGGAACTTAAATAGGTAAGTAGGCAATTGAGTTACGTAGAAGTAATACTTACTTAGCTAATTATTAAAAAGGTTTTTTTGTGCGCCTGATGCTATAATAAGCTACACGCCTGTCCGTATCAGTTGCAGTGCCACTCAGAGCTTTAAATCGCAAAGATCTGATTGGCACTTCCACTGCGCCCGTCACCTTGAGAAATAAGTCGACAAGTCCCATGTGCCTGTAATTTCACCAGCACCCTTACCCTTCAAAACTGGAACACAGTAATGCTGACATTACTGCTTGGCGGTAGAAATAGGTAAGGTGGCAGCACTTCCCTGGACGCACTCTTTCACAAGGGGCTCTACTGCTACTAAAGGTTTATAAGAGTACCTATTGATAAGTATGATTAAGGTAGATGAAAAAAAATGTAAAATTTTATTTTATATTTATTTAGTACATATCTCATCCAGAATTTATTTCCTATTCTGAACTTGAATTACTTCTCGAACTCGAATGTTTGCAATCTCTCCCTTCAAATCAATAATTCGTTAGGGTTGACACAGTTTTATAAATAATTAATTCCGGGTAATCTTTATGATATTTGTAGGTGAAACTTCTATTGTACAAAATTAAAAATAGACGTGACTTCAAGATTAATATTATCAATAGCTTAATCGAATTTCGAGGGAAAACATTGCAATTGAGGTCACTATAAAACAATGGAGGTGAAAACCCTAGAAATCATTCTACATCGAATTTCGCTAGAGCATAGGTTGATAGGTCGCCGTCGCTTGGGAACCAATCCTGTATAAACACTGAGTAGTAATTTGACGACCATAGTTCACTGCTAAAGTCGATCGACGGGGTGTTATCACTGTTAGGTAACTTCGGCAAGCGAGAGTCGACCACATATGTTTCAATTGTCGACCACCCACCACCATGACGGTCGAGGAATACCGGTCAGAATGTTTCAAACGACTTGTGCCTCTTTACACAAACTCGTATTTATTGCGATTTCGGTGAAAGCGGCTGTCGACTCTGAGTAAACAACGCGTCGACTACGCCGCCTTCGTCAGCCGAATTCGCTTGCCAAAAAGGCAACAGTCGACCATGTGTAAACACACCACCGTGTCAGAATTGCGTACTCGTTGAACAGTACCGTCATATATGCTAATCACCGTCGGGTGACGTTAAAATTTGAGAAGTGGATCAACTAAAGGTCAAAACACACTCATAGATAGCGATCAACGGCTTGTCGGCACGATTATAATGGGACCAACCGGACTTGGTGATTTTGATAGATCGTTTTAGAGTTGTGACAGAACGGTTTTTAATTTGTATCACTATTTTGATCTTATCTAAAAAAAAATCTTAACATTTGCTGGTAAATAAAACAAGTAATCTTATGAATAGTGTCTGCGAGAATGCATTAAGTAATGTTCATAATACATAATGTGGGTGTGTTCTAGAAAGGGCGAAAACGCCATTTCGAAAAAAATTTCAGGGAAGCATGTTTTAGGTTTTAACGGCTATTATAGAATATTTACGTCATGTTTTAAAATTCAATTTAAATTCGCCCTTTCTACAACACACCGACGATATATTCTCGTGAAAGAACAAAACTTTTGACCACATTTCTGAAAGCGTCGAGTAGAACTAGAAGATAAATTCGCAAATATAATAGTACTACCTTATCGTTTACGAGACATCACTATGTTTTAAAAAAAGACAAACATTACAAAAACATTACAAAACTATCACAATTAATTTCAATCCAAATACAATTCGATTTAAAACATGTTTTAAAATTAAATGCATTTAACTGAAATAAATACATTTTGTATATTGCTCGTGTTCACAGAGGAGATAAATTAGATAATAATTTGTTTTCTTTTTAGCTACTTTGTTTATGTATTGTATCAAGTCTATCAAGGATTTAATTATGATATTCATAATCATCAACCCTTTGCTTTTATATGAATAGTCGTGTCCGCCTTTTTGGATTTAGAAATAAATCCTATAATCATAATAAGCACCCCCAAATACCTCTAAAACAGTACCCAAATTGCCATTGCTTGACAAGTCGAGCCCGTCATCTTGAACTTAGAAATAAGTGCCGTATTCGTAATGACTCGATCTCATCGTGTCTTTCCGTCAAGTGAGATGATTTTTATACATTTATTTCAAAAGCCGTGTCCGTATCTTGGATTTAGAAATAAATCCTACATTCGCAATTAGCATCTCTAAATACTATTTAAATAATTATTTGAAAAGTCGTGCCATAATAATTGCAATCAAAAATTATTTTTTGAAAATTCTTGTCTTGGTATTTTGGATTAAGAAACGCCATGTTAGAATAGATAATGAGTAAAACTTGCTTAAATATTGCGTAAATTTTGCTTTTAATAAATATAGCAAAATATAATTTCATTACTTAAAACTCCAAACAAAATAAAGTTTTATTATGTGACTCGCCTTTCTTATGTATGCGGAAACATGGCGGAAACTGATGACATTTATGATTTTTATCTATGCAAGTCGATGACATGCAATCTCTAATAGCACATGTAGTATGTACCATTTTTCACTGAACAAATTACTACAACACTCACACGAAATATTGAACGTAAATGCCGCTACCTGAATGGCATGTCCCGAGCGAGTGTATAGCAGCTCGGGCTCGCACCCGCCCCTTCCTCGCCTCACACTGGAATGGACTGTAGGAATTGATTAGACTGTTGTAGTATGCTATGCTGCTGAACGTCATAGTCGTGCTGTTTGTAAAGACATACCGTTGAAGAGTGTGTTTTGACCCTAAAGCGATCGTCCGTATTTAAAATGTCGAGTGTGCGGTGCCCGTTATTTATTTTAATCACTAATTTATTATTAATAATAGTTTAAGGAAGCTTTGAAATTGCAATACTTTACTCTCGTATAGTCTGGAAGTGTACAAATAATTATTGTTAGTTAAAATTTACATTTGAAGCACAAACTGCAGGACCCAGATATTTATAGTGTCTTTTATCTTTTATCTCACTCTATACTAAAAATTGCCAAGGTTGATCGCTGTAATAGTTCATGAAATCGTACAAAATATAACCTTGCAAGAACGTAAGCCTCGCTTTTAAATGAATAGCTCTTGTTTAAGTAAATACACTAAAACTAAAGTAAAAATAACACCAAATTAATGTTTATTTGTGAGAAATGAGCAGGAAAATATATTTTTTTAATTCATTATTTTCATTACGACAACGTGCAAAGGTTACTTACTACATTACACTGCATTTGCTAGAGATGAGGTATATCGATAAAACGTTTTCAATAATTTGATGACAAAAGTATAGTGCTTGTATTCATTCTTAAAGTATGAATATTAATCATGGGCAAAGAATTGCATGTCAGTGTTTTAACTTTTTTGGAATCTATAAATTAATGATATGATAAATGTGTTTAGAAATTACTAAAATATCAATTAAAATGGCATTTGAATTATAGTTGTTTGTTTTATGCTTTCAATATAATACAAAACTCTTCACACATCGATATATCGTTCAGAATACGTCAGATAAATAAAACTATAAGAGAAAACTTTTACTTCAAAAATCAAATACATGAAAAATCTGTCGACTCTACCTCATCCCTATGACAAACGCCAAATGAAGTGTTGCGGGGATCATCCTAGTTTGGCTTTAGTATAGAACATTAATGATTATGAAAATTAACATTAAATCTTACCATTTAAGTGTGAACATTGTTACATCCGAATTGCGTACAACCGCGCGTTCTAAAAACTGTCCCTCAAACGGCTGGTTTACGCGAATTACGTACAAAGTGGTAAGAAATTGATGTACCATCTTTGAACATGTTAAACTCACCAAGTATTGTAACTAAACTTGTACTTATCACTTTACTCGTGTTAGCCGGCCAGCTGCGTTTTCGTGCACCATTAAAAAAAAATATAATTAAAAAATGTATATAAAAATTTATAACAAAATATTACCAAATTCGTTAATAGGGTTAAGTACTTAATTTATTGTAATAGATAACTGACTATGTGCCCGTAGCCAATTACCGAATTTTTTTTTGAGAATCTCATTTACTTACACGAATTTTGATAATAACAAGTATCGGTAGTATCTGGATCTGGTGCACTTCGCCGACATACGGTATACAATTAAATAATCCCAATTGCTTTACCCAAAAACGGGACACATGGGACTTATTGGACGGGCGCAGTGGCAGTGTCCCTCAAAACGTTTGCGATTTAAAGCTCTGAGTGGCACTGCAACTATTATGGATAGGCGTGTCGCTTACCTCCTCCCGTCACTTAGTTTTTTTTTTTTAACTTTTTTTGTTTACGGAGGAAAATGTTTTATGAAGTCCTTCGAGCCCGGGGAGGCTCAAGGATTATGAGGGACTAGTCCGGTGGAGGGCATAACCCACTAAAACCCCCCGGCTTACCCTCTTAGCCACGGTGTTATGCCGCCGTTAGGGCGCCGTGGGTTCTCGTAGATTCACCACTACGACACTCCCAACCAAATAAATAACTTACCATTACATAATTACATTTTATTTTTGTTTTTATTTGCAAAATTGGCACTACGTCTCCCAATCCGATTAGCTTTCCTCTACCTCAAAGGTTGTCTGGAAGAGATCTTTGCCCACATTAGTTTTAAATTGTTTATGTACTATTCTTGTTCTTGTGCGTGAGCAATAAAGGGTTTACCTATCTATCTATCTAAATATGCAAAAAATTAAACAAAAATTTCAGTTTATACCCGCTTTTATTGACCCGTAGTTTTATACGTATAGCTAATATAACCCCGATACATAATCATAACGTCAACTGTTCAAACTTGTATTTTTTTGTTAGTAGCACATAATACTTAATTTATGAGACGAGATCAGTTTGTAAGTATACTAATTATAGTTACCTAGTCATAACAAAAATGTCTGTTTTTTCTTTCCACACTGCCTAACATTTTTCACTGTTGCCATGCTGGCCACCTTTAAAAATTAAGCATGGTAGTCCTTATCATGTGAATTGCCATTTATATTTAGGCAGTCAAGAAAGAACAATAAGAAGACTGTATAGTCGCAAATTATATTTACATTAATATTATTCATAATTGAGTTCGTTTAGTGTTATAGATAATGATAATTAATTATTATATATTGGTATGTATTGTTTTGTTCCAATTTAGGTATGTTAATAAATTAAGAAAATATTTTATTAACATTGACTTACAAATAAATGGACGACGGGTCTAGTACAAAAACCACGAAAAAAATGGCCCAAGTCAACCTATTTAAACGTAGTGACATGTAAAGGAATATGAAAAAGCTAAAACGTTGAACTTAAATTGTAATGTCATCGCAGTACTGTCTAATTTTGCTTGCTTCGCTGCCAGTCGAACAAACGAAGACTAAAGCGTGAATGACGCTCTGTATACGATTTTAACGCCCTATAAGTTCGGAGTCCATATAATTGTAAGTTAATGTTTATTAATGATACATTTTTTGTTATAAAAGCGGAACTGCACTAGGTGAAATTGTACTGCTCTGCAGTTAGATTGTTTGACGAGCAGTGCCGCGTTGCGTGGCGTCACTCACGTCACGTTATAACTCATACAATGTCGTACAGCCGAACCGAATAGCTACGCTGTAGTGCAGTTCCGCTTAATGCGATTTCACCTTAAATTTATTAAAAAACAACGTCATTAGCTAAACAATTCATTGGCATAAATGTATTCTTACATTTGCCTTATACATAATAATAATGTAGTTCAAGTACAGTATAGATGTGATTTATATATTAAATACTTATTTATGTACTTACAAAGTATGACCGGTCACTTTCGTGAATTATATTCTGTTTACAATAATAGCGAGAGCGAGACACCGACAGCGGTTTGCGATTGTAACATTAGTTCAATTTGCAACTGTGAATTCATTGCCTGGATTTGCAATTACATTAATCATTAGCTTGATTTGTAATTGTAAAATCATTATGTTGTTTGCAATTGCATAATTATTAGCTTCACTTGTAATCGCAAAATCATTAGCTTGATTTGCAGTTGCAAAATCATTAGCTTGTTTTGGAATTGCAAAATCATTAGCTTGTTTTGGAATTGCAAAATCATTAGATTGATTTACGTTTGCAAACGGAAATAACGCATCTGATTACACAAGCACAGTATTATTCGTTTGTAACAAGTCAAAATATGGTTTTTTCAGCGCCTAGTGCATTTTAACTTGTCATTTTGTCGTCGCTCTATTACCTTGTGAGGTAACTTTGCCCTGGATATAAGTGTTCATACTATAGACGTATGCGTATTATAAACTTTGAAGAATTATTATTATATTATTGTATTTTGTATGGTTTTTCCTTTACTCGCTTAATCCAAAAACTTCCTCGTTAAGTATAAGAGAGTACAAAAAGAAATACACCTTACATTTAACTTTGTTAACTTTATGATTAATGGTGAACGTGCTTTTTCTCAAACTCCATCAGAATAATAATATCTTTACGATTGACCTCAGAGGTCTAGCAGTTAGCACTATAAGCGCTTGATGTGTATGTCCCGGGTTTGATTTCTGGTAGGACAAGTTTAATTTAATTGGTTTTTTTTTAAAAGAAAAATTAACTCTCAAGAGGGTTTAATCACTCGAGTAGTAGTTGTTATTAACAGATTTGTAATTAACCTGTTTTTCAAAGGTTTTGAAACATTGCGGTTATAATGAAGTAAGTATCGTACGTTCCTAATTTGTTAACACCACAGAAGAAAAAAATACAATAGAAGTGGCTCAAGGTTCAATTACTATTAGAAGCGCTGTCGCCAAAACTCACACATTAATAATTTTACCAACTATGAAATCTTGGTATAGTTTGGTCACAGTTTCTAATTGAAAGTAACAAATTCTGGACTATTAATATAATTAAAACTTTACCCTGTTGGCATATCGTTGAAAATTCAATATCTATTGTTGCAAGTTACAAAGAAAAATCCAGAACAACAATCTATAACAAAAACAGGAGAATTTCGACAACTCGATACCTTGACCTGTAGCTCAGTTGGTTTGAGCAGCGCTACGGTGCAACGCGGTCACGGGTTCAAGTCCCATCGGGTGGAAGAAAATTTTGCTACGTGTCAGATCTTTGTATTAATAATCATAACTAAATTGATTAAAACTTAATGCAATAAGACTCGGCGATGATATGAAACACCAACATGGGATAATATTACAGGTACGACTATAATTTTTTACACTGCAAAGAAGCAAAATAAGACATTTTTTGGATGGAGGAGGATAATTGACACGACCATAACGTGCAACGTCAAAATGGCGGACTGAGCTCAAATATGTGTACTCCACGTACTGTTGGCACACGTATCACGCCAATTAAGCACTTCTACTATAATATATCGTTCTGTGGTTAGCACCCTGTATATAAGGAATGACGCTTATTATTAATACAAAGATCGAAGACAGAAAAAATCCTTCGACCCGACAGGAATTGAGCCTGCGTCCACGCTGTACCTTATTCTCGCTCTGCCAACTAAGCTACCGGCCGAGTTTGCAGATCGACGAAATTCTTCTATGCGTCTGATAAAAATCTTTGTACTTGGCTTTTTATTTTTAGGCTTTCAACATCGTAAGCGACATCTTATGAGAGATTTATGAACTTTCTCACTTACTAATGCTCAAGGCACACAGGCGGCTGCGGAAGCGTTCCGGGCGCGGAAATTCTTGTAATGTACGAGTTTATATGAACTCTGCCACACTGAAACGCGCGGCCCTTCTGTGTGCCAGGAAATCCGGAAAAGTACAGGAATTTTGCATTCCATCCGTACAGACACGAGTAATGACAATTTACAGGCCTAGACCAAGTCAAGCATGCATATAATATAATGCATACCATATATCGTAACGTATGTTAGGTAACATAATAATAATACCTTAATACAGACCTACCACTTAACTGAGTCGGCTCCTGAGGTAGCTGCGCGGTGCGGGAGGAGTGACAGTTTACGTAATAGTTATGTCGTGCTGCACACGGGATAATTTCAACAGGATTTTTTTGACGATTTTCAATAGCAAGTTCATTGAAAAAAGAGCCTAATATATTATTATGATAATAAAAAAAAACTATTACATTGATAATTGAAATGAATAGCCAAGCCATTTGGCACCTTTTCAATCAACTTGTTATTGACTATCATCAGAAAAATCATGTTGAAATTATCCCGTGTGCAACGCGACATAACCTGTTGCGTAAACTGTCACCCCTACCGCGCCCCGCAACTATCTCACGTACCGACTCTATTAAGCCATAGGCCTGTAGTATTAGTTCAATTGTGCGACATTTTCCAACGGGACTTCCAACAGTTGGAGTTAGAACTTCGGAAATTATAAGCTTGTATCTGGAAAATCTACTTGCAGTGACAGCCGGCCGTTCGCCGGGTCTTTTTTGTACGGCGGGTCAACCGTCGTCCTCTTTCCACGACCTCCCGATCTACATCTTTGATCTTCACCAGTTCTTGTCCTAAAAAACAACAAGTTGTGCGATTAATTTTGGCTACAAATTAAAAAAACTTTTATGAATTCGTTTTCTGTTGCTCTAACGAGTAGATGCCGCGAATATTCGCCTACATTCGGTATTCGACCGATTCGATCACTTTTTGTAAAATAATTCCAAATCATGAAAAAAAGGCGCAACCCTCCAGATCCGAGATTTCCCAAATTTTTTATCTGATAGACCACGTATCACTTTATTTCTGTTTTGCGTAGACCCTACTGCCTTTCTATTAATGATTTTTGTACAAAATTAACTTAAAATGCTTGTTTGACAGCTGTCATAGCTGTAGTGAGAAAGTAAACAAAATTGATGTTAAGGGCATTTTCAAATTAGATGCACTGTCTATCCCCAAACCAGTTATTCCCGTCTCCAACGCAATAGCATGAAGAACGGTTATTGTGTGCTAGCTAAAGATGGCTGCCCACGGCCTGCGATTACACGGGCTGCGCCACGCACCGGAGGCACTCTTCCCACGACGCGTAGACGCGAGCTCGCACGGCGCGGCCCGTGCACCCACGGACCGTGGGAAGCCAGGGTTACGGCGGCGATATTATATTATGAATATCCAGTGTTTGCATATATACATCACAATACATAAGGTATCTTGACAATCACGACGTTAACACCAGTTTAAATAAATGCAATAATGAATAACTATGAAAATTATGAGCTTTTTAAGAGTTTTTTGATTATTTAATAACAATCGTGCGTTTTGTACGGTCAAAAATGGAAGTTTAACAAGAAGAAAAGTTTCGATTCTTAATTATGCTATGATGTTAATGTTAGACAACATCACATGCATTGGTCTGATCCCAAAGTAAGTAACTAAAGCGCTTATGGAAATCGGAAATAACGACGGTACCACAAACACCCATACAATAATGTAATGTGATGATATAGGAGTAGGCTACACACCGATGGCGCGAAATAATTCTTCGATGTTCGTGGCGGTCTTAGCGCTAGTCTCCATGAAAACTAGCTCGTTCTCATCGGCGTACGCCTGCGCCTCCTCAAACTCGACCATGCGCCTGGCAGCCATGTCGATCTTGTTGCCGGCCAGCGCGATCACGATCGACGACGACGACTGCTGCAGCTCGTTCACCCAACTCTTCGCGCAATCGAACGAGAACTGCAGCAATAAACGACATATATCCTAACGTAAGCAACGGCGCTTAAGTCTCTCCATAACTCAACGTTAAGCGGGCACCGGGTGAAACGTGTTTTGGTAAAAATAAAAAAAAATTGTCAGTTAAGTGATTTTCAACATTTTTCAAAAATAATTATGCTTATTATCACTTAGTTCAGTGACATATTTTTTGTGTTATATTTACCTGTAGCGAGATCTCTAGGCGCAAATAGCAGTATCTCGCGCTTTAGGGTGCGTACAAATCTGGCAAATGCGAAAAGCTCGCGAGCTGCGCACGTGTACGTACGTAAAGCGATCTGTTCGCACGCCACATATAGTAACATGTATTTAAGTGCACGCATGCAGCGCGTTCGCGGCGCATTCTTCTGATCTGTACGCACCCTTATGTCGCTCTCGCGCAAGTCGCGTCCTGACGTGCTAGCCCTACAGAACTGATATACTCTAGCTTCTCGCCTGGTTCCCGCTTGACGTTGAATTTTAGGACAACCTGTATGGGTTATACATATATACGTTATAGGTACCTATAAGGCGTACGCCTATCTTTACCTTGCTGGTGATATCATAAACGACGACAGCCGCCTGTGCTCCGCGGTAATACATCGGCAACAAGCTGTGGTAACTGCAAATCGTAATTATATTTTATTATACGCGGTGTCTCACGCGCCTATGCGACACGGAGAGAAAGTACGTTATATACCAAATGCGAAAAAATAGTACATTATTGCAGAGGCCGGAAGTAAGGGACTGTTGGACGAGTATGGGTTACAAAGCCGAGCGCCAGCCAGGATTAATTAATACGAGTCAAGCAATCCCCGTTCACGCCGAGGTATGTATGGTGTTTTTCTCATTGTGAGGAAATAATAAAGGACTAAAGAGAGGAAGATGTATAACAGAAAAATTAAAAAATATATTTATTAAAAGTACCTAATATTTGACACTTTTGACATATGGCTAATATTTAAAAAAAGTAGGCGGTACAGGTAAGTATTTTTTAATCTCGCAAGTACGAACACTGGGCAGTTGGCTGCTGGCAGTTTAGAGCAGCGGACAGTAATGAATTTTCATACTTAAGCCGGGTTTTCACTGAAACTGAGTTCACTCGGATGACTACTTGGACGCCACTCGTAACGCATTCATTGGATGCCGACATCCGAGTGCGCTTGGATCACGTTACAACAAGGTTTTTACTATACGAGTACGCTACACGTTAGGAGTAGCGGTAACGGCCTGGTAGTCATCCGATGTACTCATATTGTGTAAACCGGGCTTTACTTTGCAGTCTTTGGTTGGGAAGGAGTCGCACGGTCCATAAATTACAAACTTTTCATGTTCGTTTTTTGAAAGTAATGCAAACATTTTTTTATAATAATAATAAATAAATGACGCACACACTCAACGTAGCCCCGCACTAGGAAAACCTTGTGTCGCGGGCGCCATGGACACGCACATAGACATAAATAAATGTAGGCCATACAAATATTTCTCCCGGCCCGAGAACCGAGGTCCCAACCTCTGCGTGGCAGTGCGGCATGGTAACCGTTCGGCCACGGAGGCAGTTCCGAGATTTCCGAGCATGTTTGAGAAAAAATCCTTTATTAAAAGTAAAGGATAGAAAATGTGAATTGTAAGAATTAATTAATTCCGTTTAAATAACATAGCATAGTAAATTGAAGGGGCACCGAACAAGCTTGAAACTGTCAATATATCTACGGTATTTGTAATTAATTTATCAAATGTTCAAAAAGTGATCCATCGTCTAGTATGGAAATTGTCAACCTTTTGATTAGTTCGCTGATCCGAACTTTTCATATCTTATTGTGATGAATATTCGAAGCAATAGGTAGGTCAAATTACCTACATCTTTTAAATTTTTATTGAATTGATATTCAATTATTTTTTGAAGGATTTTTTTCTGAGTGTTCGATCTTTCTATTAATTATACTTACATCTTGTTTATTAAATGTTCCACACAACTGAACCGCTCCAACGTCAAGTTCTTCCAAGGGATTCTGTCTGAACCGTTGTCAAAATATGCAAAAATGTTGTGACATGGTAAATCGGCGATAGTTAACCATTGACTTACAATTGACTTACTTATTATATGGACGTCGGGTCTGCGTTAAAAAGTGTCCGAACTTATAGGGCGTTAAAATCGTATACAGAGCGTCATTCACGCTCTAGTCTTCGTTTGTTCGACTGACAGCGAAACAAGCAAAATTAGACAGTACTGCGATGACATTACAATTTAAATTCAACGTTTTAGGTTTTTCATATTCCTTTTAACGTTTAAATAGGTTGACTTGGGATATTTTTTTCCTGGTTTTTGTATTAGACCCGTCGTCCATATAATTGTAAGTCAATGTAGTTAACGTAGTATTTGTAATGTAATAATAATATAAAAATAATTTGTACTGTAAATTGCATGACAATTAAAATAATGTTGAGAGAGACTGGCGTATTCTCTATAACAAAGGTGCTAAAATTAAATGAAGATTTTAAAAAAATCTTCCACGTGTCCCCAGGAAAAAAAATCTAATAGTCAGGTCTGGAAAGACATGTGTACCGTTCCAGGAAGTAATTATTAAGGCGAGTTACCGGAGGACAAGCGCAAAAAACTGTTGTTCTAGATAAAATATGGTTTAGGTAGGTTTGTAGGTTTTAGTTACTTTGGTTTTAAAATACCAAGAACTGCTATCGCGGCCTAAATGTTATCTTGAAAGTATCTAGTACACTAAATCCAGCTCTGTAAATATGTTTGTAGCATTCTGCCGTAATTACTTGGAAAAAGATAAGTGTTGAGAATTCATTCTTAACACTGCCTACAGATATCTTGTGATCTACAAAGTCGAAAGTATTTATTGCGTGCATGTGTTACATAATGCTTTTAAAATTACAATAGTATCAACATGACCCCGTTAAGGCGCCGCAATTAAAAAAATATATATTAATTAAAATTTCAAAAACAACAATAATGAAATAATTTTAAACAAAAGCTAATAAATTAAAAAATAATAATGATAATAATAACATAACATGATACTTTTGATGCAGAATGGTACAAAAAGGAGTAGGTTGGTAGTCGTCTGTCGGTCGGTCGGTAGTTCTTCAAAAAACTGCTTCAGGCTGTAGTTAACATTTTCCTATCAAATGAGCCTTTAGTTTAATGAATAAATAATATTGGGTCTGGGGTGATATATCCTTAGGAATTTTGTTATAAATTTTAATAGCCATTACATAAGGTCCCAAATGGCACATTTGTAATTTCGACCTTTTTTTTGTTTTCGACCTAAGTAGTGCTAAGCTATTTTTATGTCCGAGTTTCAATGGGTTCTTAGAAGGTTGTACCCGCTTTTATATTATAGCTCTATAATATAAAAGCGGGAACCTAGTAGATGCTCATCTACTAGGTTCTTGGAGATATCTTTATGGAAGATTAAGGGGGTCACGAAGTCGGCTTTAGCCAGTCAGCTTTATGATCATGCCATAAGTCTTTTTCTCTCTTATTATATGGACATAGAGCACTCCTAAGTGATTACAAATCTGGCGAATGCGCTGTTGGTGTGCTGCGCGCGCGCTGCGTGTGCGTATTAGGTACGTGCGCCTCTGTTATCACATTGCACGCAAAGGAAGTAAGTATAGATGGCACGCGAACAAATCGTACAACGTAATGCACATGTGCAGCTCGCGGGCCTTTCACAAACAGGCTGTTCACCAGATCTATATGCACCCTAACATAGACAATAGAATTAAGTACCTCTAGCATTTGTTAAGATATATATGTGCTCCTTGGGAATAGACAATTTGTGTCTCCCAGTGTTCCCAAAAAATTTGGCGCTTATTTATTTCTCTCTTGAGTTGGGTGCAATTTGTGCTTGTCTATGTGTGTGTCCATGACACATGCGACATAGGGTGTCCCTAGTGCGGGTCTATGAAAAAAAAATGTAAAATTATTGAGAAGCTACAAATCTAAATTTAAAAAAAAGTACGAAATAAACCTAGCACTTATTTCGCATTTCATATCAAATAGTTTCGTTATATTTTGATATGTCGAGTGACGTTGCTTTTTACATTTGTCGACTACCCAAAAAGAATTTTTGAACTAAATCACTTTAAAATTTCGGGTGTGAAATGACGATCTTACCGCTCCTGTCCCGCAGTGTCCCAAATATGTAACATGACAGTTACATTATTGAGATTTAAGGTATGTGTAAGGAAGGCAACGCCGATGGTATACTGCTCGCTGGCATTGAATTGGCCCTTGACGAGGCGAATCGCGAGCGAAGATTTGCCCACGTCACACGCCCCCAATAACACCGTCTTATATGGACGTTGCCGCAATCTCGGCACGACGTTGACGTCAAGTCGCTCGGCTCTGCTGTGTCCATTCCTCGGCATCTTTTTGTAAAACCATCACGGTTGGTGAGAGTGCAAATAACACACCTTATCTTATATCTTTTTTATAAATACTTAATAAGTAGTTATTTGTTATGCAAGGCTGCAAAGTTATTGTTTGACGCCAGTGCTTTTAAAAACCTGAGCAAGCGAAGGATCGTAAGATTGAACCACGAGCGAGTAGCTCGAAAATAGAAGCCTCAGCCTAGCGAAGGTTTCAAGGCACGAGGCGCAAAACAAGTTTGCTGCCGACCGAAACACACAACTTTTCACCTCACTATAGCGAGGAAAATGGTAGATGAAAGAAAAACAGTTAAACTATAAGTAAATTAGTTATCGTTGTCTATTTTAATGTCAACAATAATAAGAATAAACTATACCAACGGATTTATATTACATAAATAATATACGACAAATCGCGTAGTTCAATGTGTCATTGTTTTTTTTTTTCATCGAAAGATAAAGTTATGTGCACCACAGTCCGTCGTCATGTTCGAATTTCAAAAACGATTTTGGGCGCAGATTTCTAATGAGAAAGAAAAATTTTCCGAGCTAGTGAGGTGAAAAATAATTTCGCCTCCATCTCACCTCACCTGATGGTATGTGACGATGAGAACAACGATGGAGGATATACAACACAGACATATATCTAAATAATAGACGCTGCAAGTGTACCTAAGTACTTCGCGTGCCCAATGTAAGCTACAGGCTGTCCCAAAACTCAACGATAACCTGGGAATAGGACGTTGCCTAGTTTGTAACAACCCAGAAAAAAAATATTTAAAAAATCCGAGTGAAAAACAAAAGACAACACCCGAACGCATGACAGGCACAACGCCGAATAAAAACAATTACAAGAAATTACAAAACTACCACGTTGCTACCTGCACATAAAAATAAATATAACTGTCTCGCTCGCACATTTAAATTATTTTACTGCCATCTCTTTCTATTAATTCAAGGTACGGTGGTTTATGTTAAAAATTATTAAAATTATAATTTATTTTCTTGTTGTTACATTTTTTACCTAAATGTCGTCTCTAGATAGCGTTAGCAGTGCTGGTCTATTCTCGCTGCAAACTTAATGGTGTATACCCCCCCCCATACTTACTACATGAATGTGAAACCTAAATTAACCTTAGAGGCGCCGAAAGCCATTTTCACTTAGAAAAGGTAACCTTTTTAAATTGGCCCCTTTTTAGAAAAACCAAGATTATTTTTTTCCAAGAAGCATGACGTAGAAGGTTTTATACCATTTTAGAATCTTGATTAGTTGCACCAACTTTTGTAACAAGTTGCCATGATAGTCCAGGTACATTTTTTTACAGTATGGGGTGTCAAAGTTACCTTGAAAAAAATCTGCTCAAAATTAAAAAAATAATTAAATACAGTATTTTTTGTGTTGAAACTTTCGCAATTCGGGCTTTCTTTGGCATTGTGCTCATTAGCTGGGCTATTTTACCGTTATAAAAACCAGAACATCAAAATTAGCAAATTTGTAATTGTAGTACTTAAAAATGGTATACAGGACGTACATTTTCAACATTTTTCAATAAAATGCTTATATCACAAAAAAATGACTCCTATTTTTTCAATATAATATAAATATTTTTTCTGGGTTGTTACAAACTAGGCTGTTCACGTGCACGTGACGTAAACAGACAACCTGACCGGACATTTGCTAAGTGATGACAATAGACTACTCAGCAGTGCAATGACCGTTCTGAACTAGGCTGCTGAGTAGGGTAGTTAACTTTATGTATACATTTAAAAATAATATTGTTTATAGTCACACACACCTAAATACCGTTTTGTATAAACAGCTTAAGTTTTGTAAATAAAACTCTCTTTGAATTCAGACATCAACGCTGTCTTATTGACAACGAAGCACTCCTGACTACAGCATCCTCTCACTGCGACCAAGACACCTTTAGCCGTTAGCTTATCTGATCAGTCTTGTGAGTCTGTGAGACTGGCAGTGAGAAAACCATTTCCTAAAGCACACTTATCCTGCCCCCTTTCCGTCTCTTGCCTTAGGTCGCACGGTGACAGGCTTCCCCTACTATTTATATAAGTATATATTCCGTAGCGTATGGTTAGGGCTAGGCTGTTAGGTAGGCAACTAGGGTTGTTAGTGATAGTACAGCTTTCCCTGACCACTCATGTATAGCCAGCTAGCTACAGCTAGGTAGTTGACTGTACATAGGCAACATCCTGTTCCCAGGCTATTGTTGAGTTTTGGGACACCTG